GTTACGCGACATTATCGTAGTGAAACGACGAGAAAACCCCGTGTTCTTACGACCGTCGATTTCGCCAAGAGTGATCTGACCGCCGCCGCCGAGGTGTTCGGGTGCGAAATGATTGAGTGAGTTCCCGCAGCAATTAGTGCGGAGGAACACAATTACGGGGGAATAACAGTCCTGACGAGTATTGCCGTTCCAACAACACTCGTATAAAGACGTTAAGTATATTATCGTGCTGCGCATTAACGTATATGCGCGTTACGTGTCGCGTGTAGTGTAACGCACGTATTATAATATCGGTATTGATCTACCGTTTTATTTTATGTCGAACGTTTCGTATGCGCGTTCCGGGAAAGAGCGCCGTGGCTTTTGCGAGTGCGCATCGCCCTTACGCAACGGTTCCATTGCAGTCAAACGTAATGCACAATGTTTTGTACGGCATATTTGTACGAACTGTTGGACAAAGATAACGGCCGAAATGTCTCGTACACACTTCAATGATGCCTTTGATTTGAAGTTTTCCGACTGGACCGGAGATTAAATACGATTAGAAAATTACATTTTTTTTCTCCATAATCGGAGCTTTCCTCGTTTTACCGATGATCTTGGTTTTTAAAATTAACTGTTCGAGTTTTAAAGATTTTGTAAATTGAATTAATTTCGCCTACAGTGTTTTTTGCAATATGCGCCTATGGTTTTTCGCGTGACAATATCTAATGTCTTAATATTCTTGAATACATTTTTCACATAATGGTGGTTTAGATGAATCGCTGCGAACTTAACTATAAATTGTCACATCGATCAACATTTCTTGTACGCGTTTTCATTCGAGAATAAACGCATCATTTGTTAATAATGATTCTCGCGTACATGCGTGATGTCCTCGCAGTCCTACAGCAGTAAATAAAATAATCAGAATAATTTCGAGTCATCTTTGTCACAATCCGTATAGATATTTATTATGCCGAATAACAATGCAATATACGCGCGTGCGTGTGTGTGTGTGCCATCGATCGCGATTAAATACTAGTAATGCGCATGCGCTCACCTACAACACGATCTTGTAAATGTGTTTGTCGCGTCGTTGTTCACTTGTGCAATTAGTATTATGGTCGTTGACGTACGCTTTTGAAACTTTAAACCGTTGTGAAAATCGCTTGTGTCCGTAGAACAGGGTCAAACGGACGTGTAAAACTTGGCCGACGACGACGTATAAGTTATCGAATGATTAGACTATATACTCGAAGAGACTAACCGCCATATTAGAAGGTTTCATACCGTGTCTGTGCGTACGCGTGTGAAGTGCCACTTAGTGTTTATATTATGTACCTGCACACACACACACAAACACACATATACACACTTTATAGATCTTATAATCGGTTTATAAAATATAAATTAATTATTTGTGACTGGAGTATCCGTATATACTAAGGTGTATATATATGGTATTTTATGTTGAGGATATAATAATAATATCGTTTTATTTTATAAAAATAGAGAAAAAAAATGTCGACGACTCTATGCGTATTGCAATGTCAGCGACAATAAGAGCATCACCTATATATCTAGATTATGCGGTATATGATAATAATAATACTCACTCGGAAGTATCGTATTCAGTGCAGTGGTGCAAATCTTTCGTAAAGGTTCGAGTGCGTTCACACGCGTAACAACATGAAAAAAAGGCATTTGAATCCGACGCGACTAAGTTAGAAAAAGAAAATGTAAAAAAAAAAAACTTTCAACTCGATTCGAAAATTTCGAAAATGATGTATGTACACATAATGATGTATAAATCTACAAAAACCTTTGTTCTAACCGAATTTTCCGCTGAAAAGCGAATACTCTTATAGAATTTTTCTATAACTTTAATATGAAAGAAACGAAACTAAAAAAATCGTGATGTTAAAAGTTTTGAGTTGGCTAAACTTACTTAAAAAACAAACATATTTAAAAATCGATTTATTATACACTTTTATATATTACATTTTTTTAAACAAAAGAAAAAACTCGATAAAACATTGATTCAAGTCTTTGTAAAGTTCGTTGTGTTATTCGTATTATTTGTATACGTATGAAAGTAATGAGAAATCGAACCATGATAAAACAAGTCACTGTAAAGTATACATATACTTATACATAATATGTACTGAATGTTACTGGAAAAAAAAAATTAACACCACTTATTACCTGGTGCCAATTTCCGATCGTACGAAATTTATATAAACGATAAATCAAACAAATCAAAAGTTTCGTATAATGGAAAAAATAAACGGTAAATACCAAACAATGTTCTTTTGACTTTATATGACACATTTTGATTTCAAATGGCTTTCAGTCACTTTTTGAAACTGAAAACACCGTCTGCTGCAGTTCTTTGAGTAATAGAATTATGACTAATTGTATACCGTATTTTTAATTGACTTGGCCGAGTTTGTATACTATTATTATTATTACTATAAAAAATATATATAAATAAATAAATATATATGCTCGTGACTTGTCATTACGATTTAACGCGTAGTATTATTGATATGTATATCATTCGTATATTTATATTTAAAAGTGTGTATGTACAGTTTTTTTTTTTTTATCCATGAGCGTTTCTCGGTATACCCACTGCAGTGTAAATTAACGGTGGTTTTGACGTAGTCTTGTTTTAAATTTTAACTGTTGTATATTTTACCGTTACTACTAAACAGCATGGACCATGTTCAACGCGTCGCCGCCGCGTATAATAACAAAATTGTTTGTCGAAAAACGTCGCGTAAACCTATGGAACCGCTATGCTTAGCCCTCGAATTCTATACGACGGCGGTGCGTGACGTTCGCGGTGAAATGTTTTGCTTCCTCGATTTTAGTTTTTTGTTTTCATACGATCAGCGGCGGCACGCAGAGCTTTTCTGTCGAATCGGATTTCATATCGTTTTTTTTTTTTTATATAATTTGGCACGCGCTGTTTAATATCGTACTATTAATGGATTTATGTCCGATTTATATATGTCACGCGGATTCAACTCGCTCGAGACTCGACCCTGCAGCGTGTTTATATGAACATGTGTGTGTGTGTGTACATGTTGGTCGAACACTCCGTCGATAATTAAAATACGGACCAGTATATATTCGTTTAAGTGCGCCCGTTAATGTTACGTGGATATAATATGTACATCGTGTAATAATATGTAAATCATCGATGCCGATCTGCTAATTGACAATAAAGCTGTACGGGGTCGCAAACGTGTCGATGACAAACAACCCCTAACCGTCATTCGATGTGCTGCGGGGAAACTGTTGTCGTGTTTTTTAATCGTTTTGTCTAATACGACTTCCATCATCTTCGTTGTCATGGGTGTTTCTTGGGAGGGCATTTGAAAAAAATCAGGGTTCATTTATATTACATCAAGAAAAAATACATTTTTCGATAATGTGAAAGTTATCTTTTTCTGTTATTTATGACTGTGTTAAAAATATGATTAAATACACACATTTTAACAAACTTAACACATACACATAGTATTATTATGTATTAACGTTATTTTTAAATACATTATGTGTTAAGTTAAATGTACATAAATCAAACATAGTCGAAAAGAAAATTTTTAAAATTACTTTAATTTCTAAATTTTCTAAAGAAACTGAATTCGATGATTTTTCTGAGCTGCGTGTAAATAGCACCGTTTTGTTTATTACCCAACAATATTATCCATGTGATTGCTGTTAACTGATTTCCATCGGGAAAAGTAATTGTACACATAAAGTATGGTATTGATTCATATCTGATGATTTTAGATCATTCACCGTGACATTTTTGTAATATTTGTTTCTTACATATCTTTACTATTTTTCAAATTTTTCTCAGAAGGGCTTTGGGCATGTTCCGAGTGAGGGGGTTACTATCCATCCCCTCCCACCGGAGAAGTGTCTAGAAGTAACACTGGTTGTCACCGTTGTCGTCGTCGTCGTAAATCGATATTACCATATTATTATAATATATATAACGGGTGCGTACGTTCTGTCAAATATCGAAACCGGTTCAAGACGGATATAGTGTATTTACAGTTGTGCTCTGCCATAACCTCATACTAAATCCGCCATCGCCACTGCTTTGACATTACCACCATACTTAAGTTACAATTTATATATATGTATATACGCTTATTCGTACACGAGTATTTATACAGTGTCTCACATATTATAATATGTGTGTATGCGAGTTCTCTCCCCAAAGTCATGTACGTATAATAGTTTTCGGTCTTATTTTAAACTCGACTTGGTTTATTTCGAATCGTTCAATCCGTCATCGTTATTGTATCAAGCTGCGGTGGTTTTTACTGCGAAGTATATATTGATCCGTTTATATACATAAATTATACGTACGCGTATATTATATGTGTACGACCAGATACTATGTATAATATATTATTCACGTTATATTATTATCATTATATGATTGCTGCGCGGAAAAAAAATTGGAAAGTAATGTTGTCTATGTAGATACTAATACCGATATCGATCGACTGTGGCATACACTGCATGCGTAAACATAATTGGATAACAAAAGTTTATTGCATTATAATATAATAATATACATATCAATCGTCTACAAGCCCACATTCCAATTCTGTATAAACTGAATAACGATGCGCGTTTGACGAATGATTTTTCCCGACGCAACGCAATAACTCTCTTTATCGGTTTATCGCGCAACACATAAGGAGTGCGTGTAGAAAGTTTGGAAACTCTTACGTTTTATAATGGCCATCGCGTTCATGTGTCGTTAAAAATGTCGATTGAAAAACCATTCGATTTCACGCATCTGTTATTTAGTTAACTTCGATTCAAAGCACATTGCGACTTGTAGATTTTAACCGTTACGAGTTACCAATCATGTAAATCGATATTTTCGCATCGCTAATACTATTGAAATCGTAATACTATCAATTTTTGTATGAATTATTTTTGGAGAAAATCAAAACTAATAAAATTTCGTGTTTGATCCGCAGGCTATTACCAACCGGCCGGGCCTCTAATCTCCAGTCATCACCTGCTACCGCATCACGTGCACTTGCATCATCCGTCGCACGTGAAGTCGTCGCTGGCCCCACCGTCGGTGCCCACACCGCCGTCGTCGGCTGGCACGGCCGCACCACCGCCGACCGAGTCGTCCGACACCGAAGTGGTGCCGATCAGGTCCACGTCCGTGCCGACGCCACCCGGATACCGTTATCCGCCGCAGGGCCAGTACCACCCACCGCCGATCCCGTCGTACTACCCGTCACCTCCGGCTTCGGCTAGCCTCCAGTACCCACCGCCGCCGCCGCCGCAGGTGCCTACCCACTATTTGCCGGAGCCCCCGAACCCGTGCTCCTATCCCGGTGGGCCGCACCATCAACCCGGCTACTTCCACCACAGCCGCAGCTCGCCGTACCACCACATACCGTTTCACCACAGACGGCCGCCGGTCGCACCACCATACGCACCGGCCGGTGGACCACCCACGTATTACCACGAGTACTACGGTCCACCGCCCGGGCCACCGCCTGCGCAGCCACCTGAGTCTACCGGCGTACACCAGCAACAGATGTTGGTGGCCACCAGGCCCGGTGACCGACCGGACCATCATCAGCCCCCGCCACCGCCGCAACAACAGCAGCAGCAGCAGCAGCAGCTACCTCCACCACCGGACGCGTACCCTGCGCCGCAGCCGCTCTACTACTCGCCGTATGGTGCGCCCCCGGGACCGTCGTGCTATTCGCCCGCTCCCCCTCGGACCTACATAGACCCAACATACCACTCGTGTCCGTGCCCAATGCAAACGTGTCCCAATCCAAAAAACGTCCATACTGGCCCGCTTACTGGTGCAGTCAGTAAGGGGCCAAAACATCATTCGACAGTAGTTACTCTTCCGCCAGTTGCACTGGCCCTACCGCAAGAACCTCCACGGGCTCACGGCCCACCCAGCCCGGCCAGGGGCAGCGCTGGAGTTCCCGGACCACCGCGGTCCGCGTCCTCCGGCAGCCCGTCCAAACAAGTTCCTTGGTGCATGAGCCCGCTGAGCCCAGCCAGAGCATCCGTCCAACATCTGGCGCCTCAGTCGCCCGCCATGTTGGCAGCCAAAAATCCCACCTCCGAGTGGAACACAACCGAGGAGAAATGCGACACCACCGGCTTGTTGGCCATCGGCAAAGTCCTCAGTCAATCCGTTTTGGGCCTGGATCATCACCAGCCGATCGATCATCACGACATCGTACCGAAAATCGAGCCTATCGATGATGAACCGTCGCAATCTTATTACACTCTTAAGGTTGACGTGGCCAGCGAAGACGGCGATTCCACGTCGGCCGCCGGTGATGACGACGACAACGGTGACGACGAACATCAGACCATCGATTTGTCGACCAAGCCGCGGGAATGCTCGGAAGAATTAACTACTGTGTACTGCACAACCTCCGTCAACAACAATAATAGTTTTAATCATAACAACAACAATCATGGTGACGGTGATAAAATAATAAAAGGATCAGCGAAAAGGAAGAAACTTAATCCCATGCAAATAGTCTTAGCAAAAAAATCTAAAATCCGAGAAGGGATTGAAGATGATGACGTTGGTAACGGCAACGACGCCGCCGCCGTTGCTCTCGACGACGGTACAGAAATCAATGAAGAGTCAGCGGCGGCGGCAGCGACAATAATAACAACAACAACAACAACTACAACAACAACAATTGCAACTGCAACAACTGCAAGTACGACGACGATTGAAGACGAACCGGTTACGGTTAAGCGAAAGAACAGTATCAAATCGACGGATGTCAAGTCCGAACAAGAGATACTGGACGAGTGTATGACTGAAGAAATATTACGATCCGTGTTGACGGATGAGAGCGACGGTGATGACATGATCACTGAAGCTTTCGTTAAAAAAAAAGGCGTTCCGAAGAAAACGAAAAAAGGTAAAAAAGACCGGAAGAACGGTGGGAACAAAAAAGAAATGACCGGTAAGTAATAAATCATTTAGCGCCGGTGCGCGCACGGCAAACGAATGTGGTTTTTTTTTATCTCTTATTAAATTCCTTTTTCTCCCTGCGTTTTCTAGATGCGATGAAGCGTGAGCTGGAGCAGCGTATGCGTGAAGAATTTGCGCAGCTGTCACGGCTCAAGAATCTAGACCTTGCGCCCAAGTGGTCCAACGGTTGGATATGGCAAGGCAAACCTTTCAAACGATCTGTTTACTTAGAGGTACGTGTACAAAACGTAAACTACGTGTATACAATAATTTTTATTGTATTATTACGCTCTCGCGTTGACAATACAATGTTATTGCGTCTTTATTGTGTGGTGTGTCGTCGTATTTATGTAAATTATGATACCGTGTTATTTGTTTTATGCGTAGAATGACACGCCGGTGTTGAGAAAGTGTTACCCGTGTATGCGTCACATGCAAGGTGACACGATATACGCGAGGGACTGCGTATTGCTGAAGTCGGGCTCTCGTAAAAACGACTTACCGTTTATCGCCAAAATCGCCTACTTGTGGGAAGACCCCGTTAATGGTAAGTAAACTTAGTGGTAATCGGTGCACGAGCTGCTTATCGGATAACCATGACTTCGGTGTCATGCGTATAACCAAGCTCGTATTATCTGCGTGCATGTGGGGGTTAAAATTTATATTTTATTTTCTAAATCCCTGAAAAAACATACATATACATGAAACATCAGTCGAAAGCAAAACATTTTTCGACTCTCTCCCCCTTCCGAAACCTTTGATCTCGGTTGTTGGTTCCGGTAACGCACCATAGTGTATTATGTAATAATGTATGTGTGTATCGAAAATTAGATTATGCTACTCGGTCTTTATGTTCGCGAGCCCAAACCGGATACGCAATCATACCGAGTGTGATATTGCATTGGCCTTTCGATTATTATGTATGTTTACTTAATTTGCGTTCGTTTCGCAGGAGAAATGATGATGTCGCTGCTGTGGTACTACAGACCGGAGCACACGAAACAGGGACGGCAGAAGGATGACATGCCCGACGAACTGTTCGCGTCCAAACACAGGGACGTCAACAGCGTGGCCTGCATTGACGACCGGTGTTACGTGCTGACGTTCAACGAGTACTGCAGGTCCGTGTTTCACCAAATGATGACACCTCGTCACGTTTTTCGTTTCAATTATTTTCTTTATTCTCTGGAGGTCCGTCGGTGTAGAAATATACTCGATTATACGTAAATCTATTTTCTTTTTACCTGTCCATTAAAATAACAAATTAATCATGTTAATAATACATGGTATGTGATACTTATAAATCGTTTATCGTAGACCTTGCAAATAAGTAGGTTAGGTTAAATTATATTATATTATATTATATTATACGCACTAACGATAGCAGTTCTTGACAGAAGTTATGTTCAAGTTTTGGTCAGACTACATCGCTGTCCCGCAGTTGTTTATTGTTAAAATAATAATATTATACCACCGCCGATGAGTCGGTATAATATCATTTCGATTTAATTATTTATGACGGGTACAGATATTGTATACGTTTTCTTTCGACAAAATCGACCTACAATTATAATATTATAATTCATATATTATTGATTTTTGCTAATGGAAAAAAAAACAACTATATGGTTTTTCTTTTACTATAAGCATACGTTTTTAACTCTGTATTCGTATTGAATCAGAAATAATGACTAGTGAGAAAGGAAAGAGAGAAAGAGAGAATGTGTTTGTAAACGTATACGTAATTAAAATAAAAAATAAAATGTTTACACGTCACCCGACAAATTGCGTTGTTCGTACGCGGTGCAGTAGCTGGCTTAGAAAGAACGTCAGAAAGCCGCACGTAAATATAATTGCCATTCGAAATAATAGCGCAGTGTAATATATTGCGTCCGCAATAATATAACTGTTGAGTTTTAGAAATCGCTTTTTATCAACGCCCTGTAGGTGAACTCTGAATTTCCTAGAATTTATATCTCCTCTTCCCTTCCACCGTTTTATGTGTATGTTATAAATACTTCATTTACGGCCACTGAACGTCATGATGTTATTATTTCAATATTTGTGTTCATAACGTAAAATAATTATAAATTTGCACGCGACATTTATGAAAAAAAAAATTATAGTAATAATAATTATAAAAAACACATTATAGTGATATTATAACAACTGTGGACAGATATCGGAACAAATCAAGTCTTCAATCTAAACTGAATTATTTATAATAATTACTGCAAAAAAAAACAACCCTTAAAATCTACGTACAGGTGAAAAACATTCACACGTGCGAAACTCTGGTGACTGTCAGATTATATCTTTATGTACATGCGTTAATCCTGCAATGATGAATTAACACGATAAAATTGTGTACATAGTGCGATCAGTGTCGTGTTAAGCCGTCTGTGACAACAGAAAAATTGCCATCTCGTGTATATTAGCTTTACGGCTTTATATAAATGTATGTACCGCATTCAGTTGGTTATAACTTCAATATGCTCTAAAACTGTTCATATATTTTCCGAATTAAATACAAAATTGTTCAGCGCGATGTGTAATTTAGTCTTTTTTTCTGGTCTCTCTTTCCTTCTCTCTCTCTCACCCTGCGCCTTCCACACCTCCTCTGCATCTGTTTATAAATATCGTTATGAATAAAACAATTATATATATAAAAAAAAAAAAATAATAATAATAATAAAAGAACAAATGATAATAACAGTACGTTAGTTGCCCACTAGTGTGTAGTAGTAATGCGTTCCTTTCTGTCGGTCCAACAGGCACCGGAAGCAATTGAAGTCGGTACAAGAGAACTTGGTGTTGTGCAAAGCGGTAGTGCCGCCGTTGCAGGAAACCAACCCCAGGGCCAGACAGCTGCCCGCTGAAGGCGCACCGTCGGATCTGATATTCTTCTGCCGCCGCGTGTACGACTGCCGGCAGAAGCGGTTGCTGAAGAAGCCGCAGCTCTGACCAAAACGCAGTCGTCGCCGCCGCCTTCGTGTACTCGACCACGGTCAACATTACGTCGCCGCCGCCTGCGTCGTTGTTTCTTCGCACTGCTTCAGCAGCTGTCGCCAGCGGTCAGATAACGACGATACGTCCGGTCGTCGTCGTGTTTATATTATTTATTATTATTATTATTATTATTATTATTATTATTATCATAACGATTATTTCGATTATTACTACGTTCGTTTACGATTCGTTCTTTTTTAAAATTATTATTATTATTATTATTATTATTATTATTATTATTAATATTATTATTACTATTGTTATCGAATGCAAGCGCGCGCGCGCACGCGCTCCCAAAACGATAATAGGCAAAACAATTTTTTTTTGTTAATGGGGCTCAAAAACCCTGTGGACGGGATTCGCCCTTCTGGGACAAAATTAATATAGATATTTTATTCGCGCGCACCCACTGTGATTGGAGAGATATTTTTTATTTTGAAAAACAAATTTTTGACTGGTTAATAATCGAAACTTTGAAATAAATGTATTACACGTATAGAATATAATATACTCTATTACGGTATTATAGGTTCATAGTACTACGCAATTTACAAATAATATCCCGTGTACCTAAATATACCTACCCGTTGTTCATGAAAACATAAATATATGTTTATAAGTTTTAGATAAAATTTGCATCGACAGAAATTTTATTGTTTTTGTACTATAATTTGTACCTATACTTTTTAAGTACAAGAGACATGGAAAATCAAAACAAAAAATTTGTTCCATATCTTATGTTTTTCAGCACCTATATGTAACTATATATATATATATATTGTTGTCATTACTTTACTCTACCTCTTCTTTTATTCTCCTCATGTTTTATTATTATTTTTTATGAATATTAGTTGATTTTATTTTATTATTATATTTGATTATAATTTACTGACAGGCATTTTGTTTGCTTGTACTTTTCGCTGCACAATCAGGAAATGAAATCTGTATCCTTTCACCAACATTAAATTATTTGGCCCCTAGATAATCTGATTTCTCTTGTTCAATGATTTTATTCTCCAAATCACATGCACATCTAGTCATTTGAACAGAATACAGTCTTATGACTTCCGGTGAGTCTATTCCATTCATTGTTTCCATCCACTAATCTATATTTTTTAATTATAACTAGTATTTTATTTTAACGTCATCTACATTTTTCTTTTTTATATACAATAACACATATTAAAGTATTGATTCTAATTACAACATTATAAATGACCCGTTCGACCGTATATAAATATATATTTTTTTTTACTTTAAAGCTATTTTAGTTTAGTCGCATAATTCCAATGTTTTTGCTTTAAATGTGTTGTTATAGATTACAAAATAAAATACATATATTATTAATTATTATTACTATATTGATTCCTAATAACCAAGTATATAAATGTTAGAAAACAACAACCAACTAAAGAATTTGATTAAGTTATTAAAAATGTAATGAAATAAAAACACTATGGGTATAAAATATTTTATTTTTAGATATTTATGATGTATAAATGGACCAATTTTCATGTATAAAATTTTACATTATTCACATAGATCCGGATAGACAAGTAGCTTAGAATTATTAGATAAAAGGTCATTTAGTTTGCAATAATTTTATATAGGTATGATTTTTTTTCCGAGTGTAATATTTTGTGTTATAATAGTAGCAATTTTGTTTTTTTTAACACATATATAAGTATGTGTTTAGAATGTTATCAATTAACATCCCTATTATTTGAATTAAGTCGCATATTGTATAATTTTGAAATTCAATGAAAATATATAACACTGATATTATAATAAATGTAATGTTTTATTTTTATTCACATTAAATGAATATATTTTGTTTTTCAGTTATTGGGAAAAAATTCCATTCAATTATTTATGGATCCAGAATCTGATTACCTATTTGATCTAGTGCATAAATAATTTTTGCATTGATATTTATATAAATAATGATAAACTGTTTTCAATAAATATATTATACATTTATTTGTATAATATAACAAAAAGATTAATATGGCAAAAATTCACCAATCATGCGTAATTGTTATTGTTTTATAAATGTATTGAATATCTGGTTGCCTATTTTTTCGTTTTTTTGGACTTATTGTTTTTATTTCAATACTATATGTATAATCATTGATAAAAGTGGGAAAATTTAAGTAGGGGAGCTCAATACAATGATTTCAAAACTTTATTACAAAAGCAAAATTATTTAACAGAGACCATAAGGCCTCCCATACCCCCTCATTTATACTATTATACTGGCCAATTGTGTAGACACGAAATTGGACATTGAAGCTCTATCGTTTAGGCCTTCTCTATGTATTAAAAATGTTTACAACGAAAACCTTTTAAAATTAAATGCATGGTAATCAATTTCAATGAAAAATCTGGAGATGCTGAAGCCCTTCTATCTTTTTCATGTTCCTTAATGGTTATAAACACCCGCGACCTGTACAATTCAACAGTTAATAAAATATTTGGTAAATATTTGAATATTTTTAAATTTAAATTGTTTGCTTTGATTTTATATTTTTATTGTGCATATAACGAATTATGGTTTTATCAGTGCCGTTCCAAGGTTCTGTGAGGCCCTGGACATCATTAAAATTCGAGGCCCTACAATATTACATCGAAATTCATAGGTTCACCAGAATAGCGGTCCTCGATCCATATATTTATAATCTATTTATACATGATATGTTGTATGTTGGACATATATATATATATATATATATATTATTGTATAAACGTGAGGCCTCTGGAGGCACGAGGCCCTGGGCAAGTGCCTCGTTGGCCCTGCCTTCTGGACGGCACTGGGTTTTATAATGATATTTGTATTTTATTTTCTTAACACTTTTTCGCATAGAAATATTGGTCCAAAAATTTTTTCAATAAACTTTTTAGTTTTTAAATTGGCATGCGGTGGTAATTTAGATAGGTCATTTTTTTTTTAAATCTTAATAGTTTTTTTATGCGCAAGGAAAAAATTGTCCCGAAACGGTAAAAATATGCTGTAAATAAGACTCACTTTTCAGATTTTAGTTATTTAGTCATAATTCCAAAATTAATGTGGCTAAAAACTTGAAACTTTTACCTCGTAGCAAAGAAATTTTTTTCGTATTTTAGAATATTTTCAAATAGCGATTTTGATTTAATATAGAACTTTAAAAATACCTAATTTTTTGAAAGTCTTTATGTAATAAAATTTTTATTTTTGGATATTAAGTGAAAATGTAATATCAGTTTACTCGTGTATGAGTACTTATTTACCAATACTGAAATTTTTTTAAAAATCGTTAGTCTGAAATTTATTTCATAAGCGTTTAAGTAAATGTTTATACCTAAAATTGTTACGGTTTTTACTGTTTTTAAATCAATTTTCAATATTAAATGTTTATTAAAAAAATTTGGTCTATACAATCATAATGAAACTTTGAATACAGATAAATATTTGATTAAAAGAAAAAAATTAATACAATTGTAAAAAATAAAATGTTAAACAGGTTGATAAAAAAAAAAAAGCCTACCAATAATTAGACTAAAAATGGTAAAGTATACTCATAAATGGTTAATTTTTATACTGAACCTTCACTCAGAGTCATTCAACATGATGGTTTAAGTTTAGGAATTTCAAAATTGTAACCTTATCTATTATCTATTATCCAATTCGAGGACGGAAAAGAGGAAGGACGAAATTCCATCACCATTATTTAAATAATAAATTTATATATTTATACAATAAAAACTCTGTTTTTCTATTCATAATGAGTAATAAATATTTAAATATAAATTAACATGAACACATTTGGGGGTACTAATTTCAAAAATGGGGGTGCTAAGCACACCCTAACCCTCCCCCAAATTGCGCCTATGATGGTAGTCCTATTTGAGCCCAGCCTAACACTGCAGTTTTACTTGCATTTTGAATACTACATTTCAGCTGCATATATTTATACATAAACATATATAGTCTATTGTAGTGTCATATAAACAAACTAAAAAATAAAAAAATAAATATAGAACAAAAATACATTATGTTATAAACAGCCATAAAAAAGGATAAAAGATAATAAAAAATAGTAAAATTCATTATATTGTTGACATAAATTTAACTTCACATTTTAATAAAAATTGTTTTGAACATTAGTCTATGGCATCCTCTGTCCCAGTAAAAAATTATAGTTTGAGTACGGAAAATAATAAATATTTTGGGAGCTCCGTTTCCCTGCGAGCCCTTCCCTCACCAAATATGATCACTGTGTACAGTTGTTTAAATTAACAAAGTTACAAAGATACTGTTTAGGTGCCTGGGCATTGTTGAAGCACGTTTCTTCTTAATTCATTAATGTTTTCAATAAAATTATGAAAAGTCATTAAAATCAAATTAAAACTAATTTCTAGTGTGGTATTTCATGTGATTATCATCCATCAAATTTCTCAATTAGAATCACTGAACACGAACCTAAATGTAATTAAAAAAAACATAGACTGTGTAAAACAGAATGACGTTTGTCTAATGAATAAGTAATGGAATTTCAATCTTACTTCACAGGCATTCAGTGTTGTAAGTAAAAATATTAAGTGCCATACCCAATCGTAAAAAATTTTTTAAATACATTTAAAGAATCTAGAAATGCTAATGATCTTGATGATAGTTAATACAAGTGTAATATTTCCATCCATTTAAAACAATAAATTTTATTCAATAATTACATGAATTCATTTTAAATTTTTGATCGCCAACTGCTTTCCCTGGAACTTAATTCAACCGTCATTAATGCCTTAAAAATCGATAACACCTAATAGTAACCCCAGTGTTGCAATAACTAGGTGTGTCGCGTGTGTCAAGCACACGGTCCCATGGCCCCAGCCTATAATAGGGCTCAATGAAAATATTTAAAAAATATGTAGAAAGCAAGAAAATAAAACTATTTTGTAATAATAATTATATATGGAGATTGAACAATTATTGATTGATTTTGTTTTATGCACATTATCATATAAGAACATATAAGAATCAATTATTCTTTTGCCAATTTGTACAATCGAAATTCAAAATATGTAGTTTATTTGCAATTGATTAAAGGTACGGTTTCCTTGCCGTGGTCGGACGCGGGGGAGGGAATTCATTTTATTTACATACGGGCCCAAGTTAGTGTAGTTGCGGCACTCAGTAACCCCGTTTATAGAGAACTTAATATATTCTTCAAAATCTCGATGAAAACAAAATAACAATGTGTTAAACTATAATTTTCAAAAATTTTTTTTTGGCTCTTCCCCCTAAAATTTTTCTTATAGGCGTCCATGGTCTAGACCAATAGTTTGAGTACAGCTATTATATTTCGATATCAGCGGACAGCGATCGATCGTTTTTATAATTAGTTATTGACAATCCTGATTATTATCTTCGGAAACCGATGTACATAAAATTATTAATATGAATCACAATTTAAAGAAGATATTTTTGAGAATTCGTGAAGAGATTCTCCTCTAATGAATAAATGTTAGCATACCCATAAAACTCGAATGTAGGTATCGGTATAAATTATAGTATTTGTGAATACTAGAGTACTCTAGTGTAGTAAATTATCAGATTTTTGATTATCATTATTCGGTTTTGTTATCAATTTGATCTCGATTCACGTGGTAAGTTAAATATTAAATAATATCAAAGTTGAACATTTAGGATTAGTTTGGCATTCAATTGTTATATTATACTTATCTATGATTGTTAGGATCACAAATTGTGTTCTGTTCTTGAATGGAGTTTCTTGATTCCATTAATCATATGTATTGTAGTTGATGATTTGAATTTCAAATAAACAAATTCATCATGTGTGACATAGAAGGTGAGTCGAAGGCTTAAATAAATCTACTTATTTGTTTTGAATTTAATACGTTATTGATTGTTTATATCTATAAAAAAAATAATTCGATTGCTTAATGATTGTTATTAGTTATTAATTTATTAGTCGCACAATTAGCTTCTAGTTACATTTTTTCAAAAGTTATTTTGTGTGATTTTAAGAATGTGTATGATATTTAACGTGATGAATTATGTCTAATATAATAATCTAATTATTTTTACAATAAAATATTTTAGAACAAATATCTAAACTAAGCCAAGAAGAACGGATGGTTTCTACAGTTGCAGAAATTATTCAGAAATTATTGATTGCACAGAAAGAAAACAGAGATGTAAATCTAAACAAGTTAAAATCTCAAATATCATCAAAATATGGATTGAAATCATCTCCTCGGCTTGTTGATATTATATCTGCTGTTCCAAATGATGCCAAAAAATTATTGTATCCAAAATTGAAGGCTAAACCTGTTCGGACAGCTAGTGGGGTAGGTTTGAATTGTACTTAGGCTAGTAAAAATATATAATTTTACTTATATTTGTTTATATCAATTTTTAGGTAGCAATTGTAGCAGTTATGTGTAAACCTCACCGCTGTCCTCATATTAATATGACTGGTAATATATGTGTGTATTGCCCTGGAGGTCCTGATTCTGATTTTGAATATTCAACACAGTCTTATACTGGTTATGAACCTACTTCAATGAGGGCAATTCGAGCCCATTATAATCCATATGTTCAAACTCGTCATCGAGTTGAGCAGTTGAAACAATTGGGGCATAATGTTGATAAAGTAGAATTTATAGTTATGGGCGGTACATTTATGAGTTTACCTGAAGATTACCGTGACTATTTTATCAGGAATTTACATGATGCTCTGTCTGGTCATACAAGTTCTAATGTTCGAGAAGCCGTAAAGTATGTGCATAATAAACTATTAGATTTTACTTAAAAAACATTAAAACTAAACTAATATTCATTCCAAGATACTCAGAAAGAAGCAATGTAAAATGTATTGGCATTACAATTGAAACTCGACCAGACTATTGTTTGAATAGGCATTTGACTGATATGTTAAATTATGGTTGTACACGGTTAGAGATTGGAGTTCAGTCTGTGTATGAAGATGTTGCTCGAGATACTAATAGAGGTCATACAGTTAAAGCAGTTTGTGAGACATTTAATCTTGCTAAAGATTGTGGGTTCAAAGTTGTATCACATATGATGCCTGATTTACCTAATGTAGACCTAGAAAGAGATTTTCAGCAATTTAAGGTACTACAATTTTCTGATTAAAACTAAGAATTATTTTATCATATTTAAGTATTTTTTAATATAATAATGTTATTATTATGTTCTTAGGAATTTTTTGAAAATCCTGCTTTTCGTGTCGATGGTTTAAAAATATACCCTACTCTAGTGATGAGAGGTACAGGATTGTATGAATTATGGCGTAGCGGAAGATATCGTAGTTATTCACCATCTGAATTAGTTGATTTGATTGCACATATATTAAGTCTTATCCCTCCATGGACTCGTGTTTATAGAGTTCAAAGGGATATTCCAATGCCATTGGTTACGTAAGTATACGATTTGACTTGGAAAACTTTTATTACTAATTAAATATTTATTAAAAAAAGGGGGTCACATGTGCATTTTACTGTTTTGAATAAAATATTGTTTTATTATAATTATGATGTTAACTATATGTAGCATTTAGACTTTTTATTATTTCATTATTAGTATTAAAATCAGATGCTTTATTGAATTTTTTATATAGAGTACTTAATATCTTAAAATGTATTTTAAGTATACATTTTTGAGTAAAATTGAATTTATAATAATTAATTATCATACTTAAGATTTATTATTATACTATTTATCATACTTAAGTTATTATTTTTAGTAAATATATACATATATTAATAAACGTGAAAAAAAAAGCTGATCATGCTAATTTTAATTATTACAGTATTTTGAAACTTAATTACTTTACTTATATATATTATATATTTTTTGCATTTGATTATGACCCAATCATGTACCTAGTTTTGTATTAACTGTAATGATGTTTTATATTATATTTAACAATTATTTACTAAAAAAAAATAATAATATGTATTTTAATAATTAAGATGATTAAATATTATTTTGTAAAATTTTTGTTTTAAATTTTCTTATAAATTTATAGTTCTGGTGTTGAGCATGGAAATTTACGTGAATTAGCTTTAGCACGAATGAAAGATCTGAACTTGCAATGTCGTGATGTTAGAACACGGGAAGTCGGAATTCAAGAAATACACAATAAAGTTCGGCCGTATGAAGTATGCTTTTTTCATTATAAATCCACTAAGCTATGAAATTGTATGAAATTAAAATTGTTAATTAATAAATAAAAATTATATCTATAATTGTATATGAATAAAATGAGCTAACAAATATTAGATTATTTGAATTTTTATGAAATATTTTACATTTAATTAATAACAATGTATTGTTTATAATAATATGTTAGATTGAGTTGATACGTAGAGATTATGTGGCAAATAATGGTTGGGAAACATTTTTGTCGTATGAGGATCCAGAGCAAGATATTTTAATTGGCTTATTAAGATTACGCAAATGTACAGATTCATTTAGGTATATCAATTATCAAATTAAATAATTATTTGTAAATTGCTAAAATGTACATTCACTATTTTAAAGGCCTGAGTTAAAAGGAAAAGTTTCAATAATTAGAGAATTACACGTGTATGGTAGTGTCGTACCTGTGCGGGCAAGAGATCCTACTAAATTCCAACATCAAGGATTTGGTATGTTATTAATGGAAGAAGCTGAGAGAATAGCTATTGAAGAACACAAATCCACTAAAATGGCTGTTATTTCTGGTTAGTGTAAACATAAATTTATTGATAATGCTGATAAACATTTTTTGTTATACCTATTATAAATATTTGGATATTTTAGAGCTAACAAGTATTATTAGCTTGCATTTATTTTGTGGTATTAGACATTGGGAGATAATTATAAAGATATTATATTGTATAATATTATTATAAAGAATAATAAATAATTCATATAATCTTTGTTTTTTTTAGGTGTTGGTACTAGAAACTATTACAAGAAACTTGGTTATCATTTAGATGGACCTTATATGTCAAAATCGTTATAGTTTTTATGTTGATTACTTATACATTTAGTAAGATAATTAATAATTAAAATGTAATGTATTAAAAAGTGGTATAACATTTTCTAAATGTCATAATTGTTTTTATCAAATCTAAATATACATATTTATTAATTTATTCATAAATTTTTTATTCAACCAGTATTATATTATTTTATATGCTATAATTTAATTATTAAATTAATTATCTATGTAACAATTTTCTTATTATAGGCACTTAAGAAATAAGATCTGTTAATTTTTCACAAAAATATGAAATTTCTTATAATATTTAAAATTCATAAATATTAAGTTATAATCTATGAAGCATTTTAGATCTTTAATAATCCAATTTTGAATGATGTACTTCTAATAAAAATATTGAACATTTTTTTGTAAGCTTATCTCGGTAAAAGATCAAATTTTAAAAAAAGTAATGTATAATATAAGCTTATATCAAGTATAGATTTTCATCTACAAAATAAAAAATTAATACCAAGAAATCTCAGTATCTCGTGTTAGTGACAAAACTATCCAAATTTTAATCTTTAAAATTATGTAAAAAAAAAATGAAATCATGTTTTGTTAAAAATATTTTGTATTATACATCTGTATTAGAGATTATTGCAACTGGAAAATTTTGATTAATTAACCAATTAATATTTGACAGACTGGACTTGCATCAACTTATTATAATATTATTAAAAACTTTTAAAAATTCAACAGTATAGTAAGCTCATTATGTAATGAACAGAAATAAAAATAAAAATGTTTGAGGTAGTAATTTTATATAAACGTATCTACAAAAAAATTAAATTACTCAAATTATAAAGTAACATTATAATTAGATACCTTGCTCACTTTATAAGACTAGTGTTATCTATATTTATTATTTCCTTAAAAATTTAAAATATGTTATTAAACATTTTATCATAATAATTTAATTTTTTTACATTATTTTATAACTTATAACTGAAAAAATTAAGTGTATCATTTTATTATAATTTATAAAAATTGTAGTTTATAATTAATTTTATGATTATTATCCCGTATTAAAAATAATTTTAATGTGCACTATTTTTTGAAGTAATTAAATTGTTTATAAACTAGTTGTTTGGTGTACCAAAATACTATGGTGACCGAATAGTTAAAATTAATAAATTGAAACAATTTATATTTTCAATACCTACATATTAACACAGTACACAGTATTATTTTGTCATTTCAACTAATTTCCTTAAAATAGTTGGATGATAAAGTCTTGAAGGTCCAATATCAGTGAGAAGAAGTTGGATAAGTAATTTTTGTATGGTGCAACCCATCAAAAAGTAATCTTTTAAATGTCATTTAATATATTTAGATTTTCAGTTCATTATTAATTAGCCATAAATTTAATATCATTTTAGACCACAGGTTCTCAAACTTATTTCATCCACCGCCCACTTTGAGAATCAATAATTTTCCAGCGTCCCCCCCCACAAAAAAAAATATTTTAACTTACCATCTGTTATTTCTTTTAAAAACAGATATTAACATTTATAATATATAAATATGCTATATCTCATTTCTGAGTTCATAAACATAAATTTTAAATTAGCTTTTTGGATGACTGCAATTAAAACGCATACTTATTCGTACTTAAAAGTATTTTTATTAAAACGAAACATTTATTGTTAAAATTATTCATATTAAAAGTATTTTTATTAAAATCATGCTATAAAAAAAGTTATGAATTCAAAATTTAAAATTTACTTAATGTGATGGATGAATTTGATGCGCATTAACGAGTTTGTTAATATCTGGCTCAAATTTACTCAAAAACAGCCGTAAATCACCGCGTTCAGTAACAAGCACCTGATTTCTCTTTATTGTTAGCAGTGTTGCTACAGCACTAAATCCACGTTCATACAAATACGATGATGGGAATGCTATCAGAAATCGTTGAACAATCGACCATAAACTAGGGTACAGTTCCATGATTGGCTTTTGCAGCCGAAATTATTGATAGCCATTCTTGAATTTGAATTTGATTTCCTCATTTGTGGTCAATTCTAAAAGTATGTTTATTATGTATAAATATATAAATGAGACTTTTTTTTTAATATAATATAATATTTATATATATATTTTTTTTGTATTGCCCCCTAAACCCAACTCAACGTTCCCAAAATTTCTTCGGGCATCCTACCGTCCCCCTAAAGACTACCAACGCCCATAGAGGGGCGCTATCGCCCACTTTGAGAAAGACTGTTTTAGACTTTAAGAAATATATCCTCATTACTGTGTCAACCAAAACAAGACATGTTTTCACTTTCAATTGTTTATTTCTTAATGTTAATGAAAAATAAGTATTGGTAATAATTTAATGAATATATATTATAATTCTTCATTTTTTATAATTAGAAGTAAAATTTGAACAGATTCTTAAGACCCCCGCCTTTGTTATCAATAGCAATAGATAATAATTACGATCATCAGTCATCAATCATTTAAGAACCATGGTTATTTCTTTGTTTAACGTAACCATGACCGCTATCTTGTACGTGCGTATAACGTTCCACTGCGCTTGCGTACAATGTTAACCGTTGGTATGGTGGGGGTTTCGAGGACGGAGACCTACGCGTCATCTCATAGCGTCAGACAGTGCGTTCGTTTTTTTCCTCCAATTTTTCTTTTCGATACATGTGGTTGTGTCGTACGTGTCTACGAAACACAACCCATGAGGAATAGTGTAGTTTTTTAATTCAAATAAATTAAAAAACCCCAAAAAAAATATAAAATATATTAAATTAACTAAAAAAAAAAGGAAAAATCACATAAAACATAAAAAAAATTTCTTATTATTTATCCCCTTACAAAATCCGTAAATAAGTGAAACGCGCTTTTTGTAATTATTTTTCCCACGTCGACAGACACTCGTTTCTATACATCAAGATGGCTTCGTTATACGTTGGTGACTTACATTCGGACGTGACCGAAGCTATGCTGTTCGAAAAATTCAGCACGGTCGGTGCTGTCCTGTCCATTCGCGTTTGTCGCGACATGATTACCAGGAGATCGCTGGGATACGCCTATGTCAACTTTCAAAACATGGCGGACGGTAAACTTTTTTTTTATTACGCTCGTGGTTCATGACAACGAGTTAACTTGCCTTATCTTGCGATGAATTTTGATTTACCACTGGTTTCTAGCTGAATAAGACAATTTATTTTTCCTCTAATCGAATTCTTTCGTCTATCGAACTTGTGGTGCCACGTGTAATGTTATTTTTTTTTCCTAAATGTTAATGTTCTCTAATTCCTGGCGATGCTCTCGTCTGTTCTGGATGGATAATTATAATACTGTTTCACCTTCAAGACATTCTTCCCCTGTACCATATCGATATTGTGTGTAACTAGACCATGCGTTGGCCATGTTTTTTCCACGTTCTTGGTGGCTTGGTGGTTTCTATTGGACCAGTAAATGATCACGTGATCATTGCGTTTTGGTCTTCAGTTCTACGTGTCGGTTAAAATTTTTTTATTTTTAGTAACGTTCGTTCTTACCGATAAGTCGATTTTACCTTTCTGTGAAAATAGTGATTTTGTTAGAGCATTACTTTGAGTTTCTCATCACTGATTTTAAACAGTTCCCATTTCCCGTTTATATAAATATTTTTAAAACAATTTTGTGACCCACGTTAATGGTGGATTTTATGATTAGGTGCATTGTCTTAAATAGACTTAAATATGTAGTATTTAATTTTATCAGAAATTCCATTTGTTTTTGTCACTGATAAAATTATTGGTTTTGTGTCAATAAAATATTATTTTGTACAACTTAATATTTAAATATTACTGTTGCTTAAATGTTTTAGCTAAAAAATTAAAAAAGTATATTGTATAACTGTAATACGAGTATGATTATGAATTACTTTTAATGACTAGTATTCTAATAATTTTATATGTACCCTAGATTAAAAAAGCTATAAAAAATTAATTAAAAATTTAAACTTATAAAACTTTAAGTTCACTAAAGTATGTACCATTTAATTTTGATAAATGAATGTTAATGTTAAATATTAATTTATACATACTATGTTACTATCATTATTGCGTAATTGATATTAGGTAAATAACCAGTTTAGAAAATTAAAATTTTTATTATGAACTGAAAGTTTTTATAATCTAAATATGATCTTAATTTATAATTAAATTAACTATGAATTTCAGAGTTAAAGAAATATAATTTTACTTGATAGTATTGGTTTTTAAAGTGAAATTATCAATATCAGATTAAAATCCGCAATAATCCAATTAAATCATATTGAGAGGTGATGTTAAATTAATGCAATGGCATATACTGAGTACAAAAATACTTAAAAAATAGTTAGATTTATGGTTCTTCAAAATGTAGTATATGCACCTAAACGTTACTACCATAATTCAAATGTTATAGGTATAATTTGATTTTTTCAAAAAAATTCTAAGAATGTTGCAATATCAAGTTGTCTAATTTCAAGTGAAATTTTTACTTAATAGTGTTTAGTTCTGTAGTTCCGAAAGTATGTTCCGTGTTGTCTTAAAATGAGTATCCCTCTTCAATATCTGGTTATCTATTTGAATTTTTCTGGTTTTATTTATTTATTTTTTTATCTAAAAATAAGGTATTATCAAAAGTGTAATGAGATAACCTTGGTTCAAGAAGAGTGTGCCACAAGTAAAATATTTAGGGAACTGTAGCTTAACTTAATTTAAAATGGATATACAGTGAAATCTCGATAAGACAAAATTGCTTCGGACCATGATATTTTTCTGTGTTAACAGGGTTAGTTTATTGTATGTAATTTGAAACTGAATCAAAAAAAATGTTCCATAATACCGAGGTTTTACTGTATTTATAATTTTGATTTTAAAAATGTATAAATTATACATTTATTGATCATTAAAATAGTTATTTATTCATTATTTAATATCCAACTTTAAAATTCCAAATTTAAGTTTAAAAAATCATTTTGCAATAATTTTTTTTTTGATTGAAGTTATATTTTGCTAGGTATTCTAATTACCAAGTATTCTGTTTTAAATCAGAATATTTGAAATAACTTAACAACAATCAATCAAATTTATAATCAAGTCTGATATCTTGTAGTATACTAATGTATTTTTTTTTAGTTATTTTTAAAAATGATGATCAAAAAAATTGACAAGCATATGTCTGAAATAATTTGCTGTTAAAAATTAAATCTGATTTAAATTTGTATAACCTTAATCTCTTTTATATTTATGGTTAAAGTACCTATTAAAAAAATGATGAATAAAAAATAGACAAGCATATGTCTGAATTATTTGATGTTAAAAAATAAAATCTGCAGTTTATTTATAAACTATTTAGAAATACTTTATATTGTTTGATATAATTTTATTATACGTATACCTAAAATGGATAGATCTTTATTTCATGATGATTTTTCATAGAGACAAGCATATATCTGAAACATTGTGTTGCAAATTTAAATCTGATTATATGTGTATTAAGAATAATTATGTTTACTAATTGAACAACTCTAGTGAAATGAAATTCTTGGTGATGATTTTTTATAGAGACAAGCATATATCTGACTTACTCTTTGATGTTAATATTGATCTGATAAGAATTTTATTATTATATATCTTCATTATTATGATGATTTTCAAAGAGACAAGCATATATCTGAATCATAATGCTGTACATTTTAATCTGATATAATTTTTATTAAACTATTGTACCTTAAAACGTAATAATTTTAATTCTTGGTAATGTTATTTCATTGAGTTACATGACAAAACATGATTTCTAATTTTTTTTATTATGTTTAGTATTTCAAGACACAAAAAATAATTCAAAAACATTGTTTATTTTTATTGGCAATATTTTAAAATTTAGTCATTTTTTTTTTTTTAGCTGAACGTGCTTTGGATACTATGAACTTTGATATACTTAAAGGGCGTCCAATGAGAATTATGTGGTCTCAAAGAGATCCATCTCTAAGAAAATCTGGTGTTGGTAATGTGTTTATTAAAAACTTGGATAGAAGTATTGATAATAAAGCCATGTATGATACATTTTCTGCTTTTGGAAATATACTGAGTTGTAAGGCAAGTATATGTTAATTTTTGTTTAATAAACAATTAGGTTAAGGTTTTATTCTGAATCTGTGAAGTGTTATTGAAAGAGTAACCTTGAGTTACACTCAAATGTTTTTTTTTCTATACTAACAAAACATATTTAAATTACTTTTATGAGTAAACAGTTCAAAATATATTTAATTATTAATTTTTTTTTTTATTTATATATTTTCTCAAAAATTTATTTTTGTAATTTTTATTTAATTAGGTTGCTCAAGATGAAACTGGCCAATCAAAGGGCTATGGTTTTGTTCACTTTGAAATGGAACAGTCTGCTACTCAATCCATTGAGAAAGTAAATGGTATGTTGCTCAATGGGAAAAAAGTATTCGTAGGTCGATTTGTTGGCAGAAAAGATCGGGAAAAGGAATTGGGTCAAAAAGCTAAACTTTACACTAATGTTTACATTAAAAATTTGGATGAAAATGTGACTGATAAAGAGTTGTTTGAGATGTTTGAAAAATATGGAACAATAACTAGTTTCAAGGTATAACTTTCTTAAAATATTGTTATTGATAGAATATACTCATTAATTAAAATTTTTTAGGTTATGTTCAGAGAAGATGGAAGTTCAAGAGGTTTTGGATTTGTTGCATTTGAAGATCCAGAAGAAGCTGAAAAAGCTGTAACAGAATTACATGGTAAAGAAAGCCCAGAAGGAAAGGTTAGTAGTATGCATTTTCCATAATTATTTATAAATTTGTAATTCAATGTTACATTTTTTTTTTTTTTTCTAGACTTATTATGTTGGTCGTGCTCAAAAGAAGGCTGAACGTCAACAAGAATTAAAACGAAAATTTGAACAATACAAAATTGAGCGTATGAACAGATACCAAGGAGTTAATTTGTATGTGAAAAATTTGGATGACACAATTGATGATGAACGTTTACGCAAAGAATTCAGTGTCTTTGGAACTATTACCAGTGCTAAGGTGGTAATGAATTGTGTATTTTTTTTAAATTGATCTTTTTTTTAAGAAAAAACAATTTCTTTTAGGTGATGATGGATGATGGTCGCAGTAAAGGCTTCGGTTTCGTATGTTTCTCATCTCCAGAAGAAGCTACTAAAGCAGTTACTGATATGAATGGTCGCATTGTTGGTACAAAACCTTTATATGTTGCATTAGCTCAACGTAAAGAAGACCGTAAAGCTCATTTAGATTCTCAATACTTACAACGTAATACAAATATGAGAATGCAGTCTATTGGTCCAGTATGTGAACTTTATTTTTATTTTGTTTCAATTTCATGATAATTTATTTCATCATAATTTTATTATAGCTCTACCAACCAGGTGGTTCAAGTGGTTACTTCGTACCCACCATTCCTCAGCCACAGCGTTTCTACGGACCTACTCAAATGACTCAAATTCGTCCTCAACCAAGGTGGGCTTCTCAACCTCAAGTTAGAGCTGGAGCTCCTCAAGCTGCAGCAGCAGGTATTGAAATAGTTTGAAAAAATTTACTGTCTTATTTAATTATATACAATTATTATTTCATTTAACTAATTAACCTACATCTCTGTACCAAATAATATTAATTCTGTGTGTATTTATTTGTATTAAGTTAATTTAATCAATGTTGATATAGGTTATCCAAATATGGCCACTCAATACCGAAACATTGGAGCTCGTGCTCCTGTACCTGCAGGTCAACAAGCTGCTTTGGCTAGGAATACCATGGTTGATAGAAATGCTAGGCCTATTAGCACAGCCCAACAAATGCCAGGTGCTGTTCCAGCTGGAGGAGTGCGTGTTTCTGGAGCACGTGGTACAGGCTCTGGGTATAAATATACAGCTAATATGCGTAATCCACCTGGTCAAGCCCAAGGTATGGGACAAGCTCAACCAGGTCAACCACCTGCACCAGTGCAAGCTGCTGTACATGTACATGGACAAGAACCTCTTACTGCAACTATGTTGGCTACTGCTAAACCAGAAGATCAAAAACAAATGTTGGGAGAGAGACTTTTCCCTCTTATTCAGGTATAATTTATAATAGAATTAAGTTGTCATGTTTTATTTACATCATTTTTATTAATTGTTATATTAAATTATAGCGTATGTATCCGGATTTGACTGGTAAAATTACTGGTATGTTGTTGGAAATTGATAATTCCGACTTGCTCCATATGTTGGAACATCATGAATCTCTAAAGAACAAAGTTGAAGAAGCAGTTGCTGTGCTTCAAGCACACCAAGCACAACAGACTGTGAAGAAAGAATAATTTCAAATGTGCCCTTAACATTTTTTTTTTCATTTTGCCCTTTACATTATATTCTAAACAGATTAGTTTCAAATTTTTTTTCCAATTAATATATATTCAAAATGGGAGTATTAAAAATTGAGCGCATTAAAAAAATAAAAAAAAAAATGTAATTCTAAAATAAAAAATAACAAAAAAATGGGAAAATAAAATAATTAAAAAAAAAAAAAAAATACAAAAAACAAATTTGAACCAAGCTAAATATATTTAGTTAAGGGTTTAAATCACAGAAGTAGAACACAACATTTTTGTAAAAAATTTGTATGGTAAACTTCACAAATTATAAATTGACTATTTATATTATTTCTAGGTATTGTCCTATTTATTGGCTTTGTTCATAAACTTTTTATACAAACATTTCTTATTACTTGCCAATAATCTAAAGATTAAAATATGGACTCGTGAAGAACATCACTACTGTTGTGTCTACTTTTGTTAATTTTCCATTCATTTATATTTTATAAATAAAAAGCTGTATTTATTCATAGGTCAACAGAAATCTTAATAAAAATTCTCTTGTTCTAAAATATAATATCTAAAATAAAAATATTACAAAACTGGACTTTGTTACATATTTATTCTTTTCTGTTTAAATTTGTATCTTAAGTACCATTGAATTATACAAACGTTTTACAGATCTTATGCTTGTTGTATCTTACTAATTACCTATCATATATCATGTCCTATCACTCGAGATATTTTAAATAAAAAATATAATTGTTATTCATTTATTAGGTTATTATTCAATTTGTTTTTTTTTTGTATTATATTTATCATTGAAATTGAATGATTGAAATAAAAACTCAGAATTTAAATAATATAAACCAATTATTATATATATGAGAATTTGAAATGTACATTTCAGAAAATGTCCCCTAATTAATTTTATTTTTGTTGAGATACAATATTAAAATAGACATTGGTTATTGGCTTTTGTAACTGATAAATATTAGGTGTCTAAGTAAGTAGGAAGTGCATAATTTATTTGAATCAATCTATGTGTAAACTAGTTTTAGAGTGGTTATTTCATAAAATATTAACTTTCACAAATATCATGACCCTGAGAATGTTATCAAGTATTATATTTCTGATTATTTTTAAATTTAAAAATGCCAACATTTTTTCACACAAGTTTTTAAATTACTCCTCGACTTTAATATTGTTGATATTTGTAGAAATAATTGTACCTTTTTTACAGTTATTAATTCCAAAATTTCATGTATGTGGACATTTTTTTTTGTCTACTTGTATAGTAGTCCAGCCAAAGTAAATAACACCAATAAAGAAAAATTCTAAGTCATTTTTAACTCTTAATTGTATACTGTGTGTTGAACACTTAGTGTTATGAGCTAGTCAATATCCTTCAATGATCTGGCTGTTAGAACAGATTTTGAGTTTGTAATTAATGAACTAACAATAATAAATGATCATATATGAAAATGAAAATGACCAATAAATATCAATAAGACAATTTAGTTAGGTTTAGTACAAATACATATCTAACAATAACAGCGTGCATGTGGTAAAAATAAGTACAAATCACAATCCATTGAAAGAAAAGAAAAAATACAAGATAATAACAAGATTTATATAATGTAAAGTAATAATTGATAATCATAATAAATGTATGAATTATATTTATAAATGTGTTCAAGCTGAACTATGAATGTCATCATTCCAAAGCATTTTTATACGACATGGCCAAAGAAACGGAAGCGGCTAACAATGATGATCGTTGGCTAACGCCGGTCATTATTTCTTGCCATTCAGACGGGTGTACCTGAGAAAATATATAACAAGTGTAATGAAATAAAATTATTGTTGTAATTATATCTAAGTCATACTTTCAAATTGCTAGCCATAAAATGTGCAACCGGTATACTGAATCCAGTTGAAATGTGTTCATAATCTTTGGGTGTGTCGTCATTGATTAGACTCACAATGGACGTTGGTACGGGGACGCTTTGAGTGTAAACTTCTAGATCTATATTTCGTTCCATATCATTGAGTTTCAAGAGGCCAAATTCATACCATCTAATGGAATAGCAACATTTTAATAGTCTGATAAATGTTTGCAAATGTATCTATGTGAGCGTATTTCATAAATAAAGGCATAATACTTATTACATTTTTAGCAAAAAATTATAGATATGGGTACATAATATTAAATAATGAATTATTTAAAATTATGCAGATGATTTTAATTTTTCTATTAACAGTAGAAATAAAATCATAAATGCCATTTTCTTTAAATTTTGCTCTTATAAATGTTCTGTGTGAAGTGCAGTACTTTACTTACTTTGATTCAATCGGTTCAACAATAAATCTTTCAAAAGCAACAACAGGTCCTTTCACTACATGTAATCTAACTGAATCTATGCGATATTTAGTTGCTTTGGATGCTGCGGAAAATCCTACCAACTGTGCAGCAAACGGTTGATCAGGTGCTTCAAGTCCTCTGAAAAAGGATTCATTAATTGTAAAAGATGATCAAATTCTTGTACACAATAAATAAGACTGGTTACCTAACAACTGATTTACCAAATACTTTTTGAAACCCTTCTCTTACAGCACTGACGATAATTTCCTTTTCTGAAGCGACAACTACATCTGTGCCATCAAAAGTATTGGCTGAAAAAAATATTTTAAATACATATGTAATAATTACTAGATTATAATAAGTGTTTTTCATTCATTTACGGTTAAAAGCATCTTTCATTTGTGGATCCAAAGTAGTGAGTACAGCGTCAACAGAATTCTTGGCTTTTTCAGCAACCATGGAGAAAATACTGGAACTACTGCCTCTCATCCAGTTAAACAAATCACCTTTGTTCCCTGACGTTTGTTCACTTTTGACAGACTTATCAGTACCAGATTCACTGGAAGGACTTGTAGGCACATCAAAATTTTCTTCGTTTTTGTGGGTGATTACTGGCCTGAGAGGAAAGAACATTCTTATAATACACAATGCTGAGTGAAAAGTACATTAAATTCGGCTTCGCTACTCACGAAAACATTGGAGTGTGAAAGCTTTGACTCGTCATGTCTGTAGTGTTCAGTACGGGATCAGCCTGCTGAGTGGATCTGCTGCTGGGCTCTGTAAGAATATAAACTTGAAATCAACTCAACCTTATAACAAAGAACAACATCAATGGGTGAAAATTGGTTACCTTTCAAAGCGTCGGTGACGAAACTCGGCAGCTGAGTGGGCGGCGGTAGTTTCGACAGGAGCTGGTCGGCTTTGGACATCTTACTCGTCACAGGACCTGCAATAGATCTCGATGACAAACAACGAACCCACTTGTACAACGGTACCTACTCGCCCGAAGTGAATCTCCACTCGCAATCCAAGTCGTTACGCAATATTACACTCTCTGCCCCTCGTCCAGTCGCGATTGCACTACAATAATATTACACTGGTGTCACTTACTGTTCGGTTCGTCTGTGCCGTACGACTTTTGCATTTCACACGGATTCGCACGTCATGTGCACACGCAAACACGCAAATGTCGCAGTGGCCGCTCTCCCGTCCGACTGGTCAGGTAAGTTTTAGGCACAAGAGACGGCCAATTTTCCCTGATGGTGACAATAATAACGACGACGATGATGATAATATACGTTACTGCTATTGTAGAGGTTTCACGGTATGTTATGATTCTAGTCGATCGCACGTCGTCACTCGCGTTATCTCCGGTCGTTATCACCGTTCGCGACGATCGTCAGCTGTGTTACATCGTGTCACGGACTAAGATGTATAATACAAAGGTAGTAACGATTAGGCAGGAGGATGGTAGAGGACCGGATACAAAATGTTTTCAATAGGTAGACGTAGGGCACCTAGTAGCATTAGGCTGCGGTCACAGTGGTACCGACGTCGATCGGCCGATAGTTTTCGTCAGACGTCGGCCGATAAAATTGACCGGCAGTCGTTCATTCCAATGCAATGACTGCAGGTTATAATTTATAAAATGGATGTCCCCTCATTTTTGTGTTTTTGTACAAGTCCTGCTATTAAATATTTATTATTAAAAAAGCGAAAGTATCACACGAATGACATTTTTAAGAATAGGGAAAAATATGGAGAATTTCATACATTGTTTCACCAACTATTGGAACAGGAGGAAGATTTTTTCAGTTATATGAGAATGACTAAATCAAATTTTTATTCTATAATATAAAAATGAATCGCAAAATGTGTTGGTAAGCGCATAACTCAACAACGCCTGGACCAATTTGGCCAAATCTTTTTTTCAAATGTTCGTTGAAGTTCAAGGATGGTTTTTACGGCGAGAAAAATTAGAATTATTGCTGGAAAAATCCTAAAAATAGCCCTTTTCTTTTTCTAATACAAATGATTTGTAACTAAAACGTAGTCAATTTGAGCTTTATTGCTATGGCAATAAATTAATGTTAATAAATAAATAAATTAAATATTCATTAATATTAGCAACAATTCGCTCACAAAATAAAATTGCACTTGCACTCGCTTCGTCGGGAATCGCAGCAACTTTGCTTGAAGGTGGTCGAACAGCCCATTCAGCACTAAAATTGCCATTAAATATGCAAAGCAATGAAACTCTATTAAACTTTATTAATTTTTGTAATTTTTTGTTTTAATTATATAGCCAAATTATAATATAGTTTATATCAAGAAAATTGTATAAGAGTTATTTAAATACGATTACTACTATTACATTATTACTACTATTATATTATGTAAATATTCGTTAATACTTACAAATTTAATATAATATTATCATTTTCACTTTGTACTCATTTCTGTTCAAACGTTTATGCGTGTATCGAATAAATTTGGATAACATTTAACATGGGTAAACTTAAAACAAATATACTTAAGATGTTTAGAGAGTATAGTGAAAAAAACGTAATAAAACCATGATTAAAAAGTCATGTTATTACTGCAATTGGACAACAGTAAAAAATGCAACTAGTCAACTAAACCACATTTTAGATTGTTGTAAATACCCTAAAAACATTAAAGATTTCTTTAAATCTGATGCAACTCATTTAACTAATACAAGTATGTGGTATAAATATTAGTTTTATTTTATGATTTTATCACAAGGTAACTTAAAAACGGTTTTAAATCAATGGATACTCACTTTCTTATTGCTAGTTGTAGTTTTTCAATTACCTACTAGTCAGTAAAATATAGGTACAAAATTATCATTTATCCATGAATTTAAAACAGTCGAACACATTTTCTTACGGTTATCGTCGTGCGCGGAGAAGCCAGTTATTGTAAATCGAGACCGACGCCGCTGATCAACCGATTCTTCTGCCGGTTGTGGCGTTTGTCGCACGTGTGAACACGGTCGCGTGGGCAAACCACTCGAACGCCAGATCGTCCAAGATATGTTCCGTTATAGTTGTTAAAATATATATTTATTTTTATACGATTTGTCTTGTTATATTATTATAACGCGCTTGGTGTATATGTGATTTTATTGTTATTTTTAGATTTATCGTATTCATTATTATTTTTTTTGTTGATATAGTGGCGCTTTTGGCCCGTTTATCCTGGCATTTGTTATAATTTCATAAATTATCCTTGTTAAGTGTTCTTTTTATTGCAAACTACGCGAGTACGCCACACAATCGAACTAGTGATGGTTTGACTCCGAAGCGCGCAAACACGCATAAATACAAAAGATGACGATCAGTACAATAGTTGTAGCGAACCATTAACTTCACCATACATGGTTAAAACGGTTAATGCTATTGCCTGAAATTACTATTGCATAAAAAATCAAAAGAAATATATATATAATGGTTTATGAAAAACCAAATTGCTGTCGAAAAATGTATTTCTTACAAATTTTAATAAATTATCTACAAAAATTAAACCATCAACTATGATCTATTTATTTAGTGCTTAAAAACATAACAAATATGAAACACAATATTAACGTTGGTACTTATTTAGAATTACACGTTTTTTTAAAGATAAAATCGAGTGGATTAAAAATGAAAGTTCTAAAGTTTTGATTTCAACCAATATAAAAAATTCATTAACGAAGCTCCTGATATTCAATATTTAGTAAAAAGGTAGGTGAGATAAAATTGTTTTGTATACATTGGCTATTCATTCTCCGTTCATTTACTACGATATATGTAATATTCATTAGTGAAATATATATAACACATTAAATTTCTCTACTCAAAAACAAATTGTTCACGATCGTTTTTTATTAAAGAAGATATATATGATATTTTTAAGAAATACATGGAATTATGACCCACAAATGTAACGTCAGATAAATTTTGTTTTAGTTATAAAAACGGTTAATGCGTCAAGCAGGTTATTGGAAAAACAAAATTGGAAATATGCCTAAAGAAATTGTAATATATTTAAATTTACTGTATTCCTGAGCTGATACAGGTCGTTTTTTAAGACCGAACTTCAGCAACATTACTTACCGCTTCTGCTGGTGATGTAACAACTAGTGATGGGAATAATCAAATGTGATAATCGAATGATTTTAATAATTGAAATATTGGCAAAAGGCATATTTATCAAAAGCAAATCAATTAAATTATTCGAAAAATTACTATTGAAAAATAATTTGCTAAACATTGCCAAAATAATAACGTTTACGTTTACTTAATGAATATTGATGAATACTTTAAAACTAATAATTTCACTAATTTTCCGTGTATTGAACAAAAACAAGATGTACTAACTTATATTATATCAAACTCTGTTATTATGCGGACGAGGCTGTATACTTTACATACAAATAAAAATAAAGTAAAGACAATGCAAAAAAAAAAAGTTTTCACACAATTTTATTTTAACAATTAGTTCACACATAAAATGTACAGTAAATAATAACAAGTTTGCTTATAATAATAGTTAATATGAAATTTATAAAGTATCATTGTTCAAAAATATATATTTTATAATGTAAAGTACATATTATGTAAAATACTTACCTATATCAATACCATGAATTTGTTGAAAATAAATTAATAATAATAAATAATAATAATACTAAAAATTATTTTGGCATTCATATTATTATTTTAATCCAACGCTCAGTATTGAGTTTTTAACTCCATTTAATAGAAGGCACTGAATGTCGGTACTGTATCATATGAAAACATTTGGGTTCCACTGATAATACTCTGTTTCTAGTCCTGTACATCTTAGTCCGTGAACACAACAATCGTTGTAAAACGCATGTTTTATTGCCGGTACGATACGCCGCACTTATGTGCCAGTGGCGAAATTGCGATCACCGAACGGCAATTATTGTCATTAATTCGCATCATAAGCATCCGCCGTCTATCTGTCCATCTGCCAACCAAACTAATAACCTACCCTTAACCCGGTGCAGTAAAAGTTCCTTGAAGAGTTTTGAATTAAAGGGTTAAGCGTAGCCGGACTTCGGGTTCGGGGTGTATGTAAGAAAGCTGTAGCTGTGTACGAAAATGAACTTCTAAAGAAAAACATCGGTCTCCAAAACATTAGAATATAAATTGTTATTTTCGTAGGATTTCGTGGTACGCAGTAGTATACCTTGCCACCGCCCCCCCTCAGTGAAGGCTATGAGATTATGCAAGTAATATTAGTTGGAATACGGATGTTCTTCAAATAATAAATAAATGAGTTCCAGAGAAAAAAATGCACGTTGTCATGGGACAACTGTGTATATAGTTTGAGTGGAATAAAATCAAACAATAATGCTAAATACAAAGAGAAATATTGATTTTTTTTTCATTGATCATTATAAAAATTGTTTAAGAATATAATTAGTGCATTTAAGTAGAATTATGTTGATGCTATAGATGTCTGCAGTTGTCATTTCCGACTCTGCATGATTATTATAAACAAAGTGTAATAAGTTGTGCCGTAAAAAACAGAATTAAATCCGTCTTTAGGATATTGATCATATTGTTCTAAACATTTTTGAAAAAAGGAAAACAATTCATTTCAATATTACGAAAAAATAATTGGTATTGAATAAATATATTATTCGTTAAAAACAATCTACAAAGTCTATTTTACTTTAGTACTTCGAGTACAAATACATATGTATGTTCGTACATTGGTATATATTTTAGCTGAATAGTTAAGTTCTTTATAACTATAACATTAATGTTTCAATTGACTACAGTATAATAACTAAGTAGAATCTACGCAGCGAAATAATTGTATAAAATTATTATTTTATTTACTTGTTCAATGTTATTTATAGCAAATTTAACTGCAAAATAAAAAGCAAATTTTTTTTCTTTACTCTAATATATAATTTTTTCCTCTGACGAATGTCATAGGTTTTAAACACTATTATACTAGCCCAATAAAAGTATTTTGTATAAATTTCATGTTTTATTTCAATTTTTTTGTTAGTAAAAAATAATTGTAATGCGTGAGTTCAACTCGATATTTCGTCGGACCTTTCCATGTCCGTATAGGAGTAGGACAAGGACTCTACGGCGTATTATAGGACAACGTTAATAAAAAATAAAATAACACAATTTCGATAATAATAGTACTCTCAACATGTATTTTGAGTTGCTAAAGTAATATCGCAACTCTTCAAAGACAGCACAATGCACAAATATACTTATGTATATATAAATAACTAATGTAAAATCGTTATAACATAACTGGTCCAATTCAATATTTTGATTACAGAATTAAATAATTTATAAAATATATAAGATTAGTATAAAAGTGAATTAAAACTAATTACGAGGAACAAAAGTCGTATAAATTAACCGACGCACGATTATTAGGGTTTGCCGGAAAAATTAACTAGGTACTATATTATTTAACATATAACATCACGGCGGCAATTGCATAACGGAAATCCATTGGTTTTATTTATTACGGTTTTGCACCGGCACTGTAGTTTTTCTAGCATTCCTATCGGATGTAAAAATCATGTGAACAACAACGTCAACATTTTTAGAAATCGGTAACGCAGTTCCGGAACAGTTGCAATGTAATTTCCTGTGCGAGAGAACTAATATCGTGGAGATTAATATTATTATTGGACGTGCTCGTACATCAAGGAAAGCAGCGGCGAATGGCGACTGTACAATACGCTAAGAAGTGTCCGCACACAAAAGATTTCGACGAGTCGCAGAGAAAATATGAGAATAAAAGAAACAGGTGTTCGTCCACGTCCTGCAAACCAACGATCGTCATCGTTCCGGACAAACCCTTTCTACAGTATGTTTTTTTTTTAACACCGTCACTCAAACTAAACAATAGTAATAATAATAATAATTATAATGTATTATGACACGCGCACCCTGTATTTTCAATATTAACAATATATAATTCAACGTCAAAAATTACCCCGATTATTTGAATTGAACACTGTGTAACACGTTTTAAAATACAATTCCTATATAGTACGTAATACATATAAATACATGCGTATATACGAATGTATGTAATAAATAATGTATATAATTTTTTACACGTAAATATGTACAGTGAAATTTTGGCTACAAGATAGACAATTCATATACGTCCTATGAAGCTATGTGCGTGTGCGTGTGTGTGTATGTACATATTATTTAATACTTTACAATATAATTATTTAACAATAATAAATAATCATAACATATTACAATATAGTCAGTGGCGCTGTTGGTACTTTATGTATATAGATATACATGTATTTAAATAATACGAGGAGTGTGTGGTGTGCAGTAAATATACATAATACGGCTGCAGCGTCTACACGAAATCGAATCCGTCGGCAGTGGTAATCGAAATCGCGTTTGTAGGTCGGGTCAGTTTAGGTCATAATATAAATCGCACAATACACGGTGCATTAAATAAATCAATGTGGCCGGAACACGGTTTACCTTGTGTTTCTGTACCCTATTTGAGGAGTGGCATAGTGGCGTGCAACGGAGTGCGAAGGTGTAAGACGACTTTGAGATATCAGTAGTTATTGTTCATTTATTGGCTAATTGTTATGTAAATTACATATTTATAAAAATCTTCCAAAGCTCAATCACTAATCCCCCCGAGTACTCATCGGTTTTACTTTTTTAGGTTCATCTCAACATCATCGTTACGAAATAATAAAACAAGTAGAACAACATTCCTTTTCAGTCAATGAACAAAAAAAAAAAAAAAAAATGGTTGTAAGAACATACGTATAAATTGTAGGTCAGTAAAATTAATTATTTTACATTTATGGTTATTACGTTTTGAGTATTATTCATATTAAATCAATGGCATACGACTTAACACAAATCTCTTATTTATTGAAATATACGAATGTTTTGAAATAAATCGCAAACATATAGCAACATAATTTGTTGTATTTGTAAAAATATTACAATTTATTTTCAGTTATATTGTTATGAACATGTAAAAATATGTAAGAACACTCTGTATTTTCGACGATTGGTAGTTTATTACGATCTGTAGGTCGTCACCTCCGTACCAAATGCCTGATACGTATTTAAATTTATTTTATAACTGCGGAGCAAAGTTAATAAATAATGCATTGAAAAGGTATCTATTAAGTTTAAAGGGTTATTAAGAATTCGGATGGAAAAATAATCACATCTACCGTAAAACGGTTTCATGCACGCCACCGCGGGAAATATTCGGGGAGCGAAAAATCTCTGAAATGGCTTATAAAACGTATTTATTTATTCTCTCGCGAAAAACGATAATATTATCGGGGAAAAAAAACGAACAAAAATTTGATGTTATATTTTTAAGAAATATTTCAAGCTATGTTGTTGCTCTTAAAATTGTCCTCGGACAATACGTTTTTTGTCCACGCTGAAAGAGAGAGAGCATGTGCACGAACATCGGGGCAGTAGTAATAGTAATAGTAGTAGTATGGGAATAATGGACGATCGTGGGGCTTTGAACAGCCGACGGAGACGGACCCGTGCGATCATAACGGACAGCAACTGGCGTAGCCGTTGACCCTTGGGGTCGCGACGGACAGGCGGGACGATGACGGCCGACCGAGCTCGGAGCCGAGTACGACGACGGGCAGCAGGTCTTCGCAGCTTTCGTACACGGAAGACGAGGACGCGCTGCGGTCGTCGTCGGCGGACAGGTCGACCACGGCTGTCTCGCCGTCGTCGCAGCTGTACACGGGCGACTGCCGCCGGCGGCAGAACATCTCGTGCCGCTTGCGCCGGTTGTAGCTGTCGTCGACTGGCGACGGGGTGGCCGGTGGCTGGACGCGTTTCCTCTCGATCAGCACGTCGCCGACCACCTCACCCGTCTGCGAGTGCACCTCAAACACGTTGGACGGTCTGCACCGCGGTCCCGGAACGGGCTGCGCTACGGTGTTGCTGATGCCGGTGTCGTTGACCCGGCTGCCGCTGTCGTCACCGTCGTCGGTGCCGCCGTCGTGGTCGCAGACGTCCACCATGTCGGAAAACGCGACCGTCTTTTTGCCGACCGACGCGATCGAACAGCTGCGGTGGTCGTCGCGGGATAGCACCGCGGCCGCCACGTCCGGGTCCGGCAGCAAGCCGGCCACGGACAGCCTGGACACGACGGCCGCGTGGTGCTCGGGCGTCGCGTCCACGCTGGTCTGCTGTATGGAGTTGTGCAGCAGGCGCGTGCTGTGCGTTTTCAGGTCCAGCCGAAGGTAGAACGGGTTGTAGTAGTGCATTGGCGCGGTGTTGGGCATCGGGTGCGCATCCGCGTTCTCCGGCCGGTCGATCACGAACTGCTTGACGACCACGTACCGACCGGGGTACGGTATCGGCGTGGCGGCCACATGCTGCTGCTGCTGCTGCTGCTGCGCCGGGTCGTTAGTGGCCGTGGTCAAGCCGTCGCCCGCCACGTCGCCCGGTTGGTCCGGCGTTAGCGGTTGCGCCGCGCCCCTACCGAACTGACAGTACCACTGAGCTTCTACCTCGTAATCTCATTTCTTCTCCTTTTGGTCCTTGTTCAGGTAGTGTAACACGTAATGCAACACCAGATCGTAACAGTATTTGTACTCAGTCTGCGAAACACCAACAATTTTTCGTCAGGTTTTTGTTTTATTTCGTTCGTATATTTTTACAGAACAGCGGTTCCAACATTTCGATGGTCATATAACAACAGAGACGTGGCGTACGTGTTATGGATTAAGTGATATTTTTTTGTAGTAGGCGCGATAAATCGTTGGGATTTTGGGGATGCTCGAATGAACATTTTTTTTAGAGGCCGCTCATGTAGAGCGAATTGTTAAATGATTGTTCTATGTAGTATTTAGGGTTTGGTAACAGTTAAATAGTTTTAAACAACTTTTTAAAAGCGTTGTTATCAAAAATTTTTAAAGGCTTAAACAGTTTCAACGAAACAAACGTTTTGTTTTATTTAAGTTTGAATGATTAAAATTCATAAGTAATAAAACCACATTCTGCCGTAATTAGTAAGTATGTAGGTTTAGTAAGTTTTAACTGCTTAACACTTAAAACTCGAAATCTGTTTACTTTGGTATTTGATAAATTATTGAGAAGGTGTTGATGATATTTTTTCTTAGTTTAATTAATTGGATTTGTTACTGACTATGAAAGCTACAAGTATTAACGAGAAGAGTTTCATTGACGTTTAAGGGTTTTTTTTTCATCGTTTTTTTTTAAAAAAAAATGAATCAAGTCATTGAGCCTTTGATCGTTTATGTCATTAGCGATGAAAAGCTACCCTATTATCGTTAGTTACTTATTGGATTTGCCAGTTTAATATAACTTTATCATGTTGTAATAATATATTCCTAATATATTTCGGTATTAAATATGGTTTGATGTAGTTTTTTCGACAATTTAATCACAGGTATACTTTTTATTTTATTTAGATAATAGCTTATAAGTAATGGTACTTTTAATAATTATTCTAGAATTAATTAATTGTATTGTGATATACCTAACTTATTATATATTTTCTTATTAATCAAAAATTTTCATATTTCATATTCATATATATGATTTAGTTAACTAGATTAAAATTATAACAAATGTATACATAATTAAGGTCTCTCGAGATTTATGTTAAAAATGCAGGTACTTTCAAAGGTTTAAAGCCCGCATTTAATCATAGAAGAACTTGATTATTTTGTATTGTTATTCGAAATTAGGTTGAATCCGATTTTCCTAAATATTTAAACGTCACCCCGGCGCGATGACTACAATTATAGCAAATAATATTTGTTGTATGTGCTAATGTATCGCAGTTATTGGTTGAATACTATGCGATCGCTTACCATGTTCTCTATGAGTTGAGGTCGGTGACGTCTGACTGTTTTTACGGCTTGGAAAACGTCAACTTCGCCGTGTTGAATCACTTGTTCGATACACGCGTTGGCAGAGCAGTACACGCCACATCTACCTCTGCCGTCACTGTAACGTAATGAAACCATATATTTTTTTTTTTTGATATGAGTATGCTACGGGTTCGAACTACCGCCTGAGTCACCTGGTATTGGTTTAGGTAAAATCTTATTACTTTTTGACGTAAATATATTACACGGATAATAATTAAATCAATTTGACCAAAGTAATAATCACCCATCATGATCACCGACGGACTAACTATAAACATCATCCAGCCTCACCCAGGTGTATTTACGGTATAACAATAATGTAAGTGGTTCTAGGCCAAAATAGCAAAACAATTAACCGCGAATTGATAATAGTGAAAATAAAAATAGCTTATTCTAAAATAAACGATCATGCATAACAGTGAAACTGCAGTTTTTTATAATTTCTATTTTGAATACTATAAATTTGAATATAGTGCTTAGATAAGTTTCAAAACTGATAAGACTTTAAAAATATTATAAATATTCTTTGGTAGGAAGTCACCCTGCTATATGGCAATTTATTGATGTGATAAAAAGAATTCGAAATTCAGAAGGATTAAAACGAGAATAGTATTATGCTGGAGAACGACCGGAGATAAAAAAAAGTATAAGGACCGTGTTAAAAAACTTCATTTGTTAATTAAAAATTATAATACTAATGATAATGAGAACTTTGTAAATGGTATAGCATATAATTTTTCACTAAATTCCTAGTTATTTTTTCAAAATTACTATCACTAAATCGTATATTTTCGCTCTTTTTTAAAATTCGCTGTTTTTATTTTCATCATTGTTAATTTGCAATTTTTAAATTCGTGGTTATTGTTTGACTGTTTTGGCCGGATACCAATGTAATTGCACTCACTGCGACACGACCACCACGGGCCCGTAGTCAATTCTCTGTCTCCACCTCTCGACCATATTCATGAGCTCGACCAGCGAGTTGGTGGAAGTGGGCACTCTGTGGCCCATTGGCCAGCAAGTGAGCTGAAATAGCTGGACGGTCCTTGGCGGCGCTTTGACGCCGGCCATCAGTTCGGTGAGTGAAACGATCTGTAACACATTGTCTTTTTAGTGTACACCGATTGTTCACTGCAGGGCGTGTTATGTCACATGTGGTTAAAATATACAGTATGTTACATGATGGCTTATAAATTCGCTAGGTAGTATTTTTGCTTCTGTAAAGAGATTTATTTTTTAATGCCCACGGTTTTGAATTTGATTTAAGAAATAAATTAGGTATTGAATTTCACATAGATTCCTATGGTTATAAGGTAAATACTTAAAACGGGATTTTTTCCATTAGTATTCTTCTTATATTCTATGGCAATCATAAGCCATACTACTTGAAACTTCACAAATGTTGTTCATAATACATAATTTTAATGATCTTGTCAGTCAGATAAAATGCTTGATGGATATACTGCGAATGTGTTATAGGTTAGTCTTTTGCAAAAAATTTGATGCATACGCTAACGTAAAATCTTTATTTATAATACCTACTTATTATTTATTATTATTATTTATTATTACCTATTATTTTATAAATAATATTTGAGATCCGAATGTTTATCTAAAGACTTAGTGCCAGAAAAAATTGTATTTTTATTAAAACAAAAATATTATCTTTTGACCCGTTGTTTGTATACAAAAAATGTCTCATATAATATCAGAAAAATTGTAAATACACCTCAGCTAAATCACGGCATCTAGAAACAATGAAAATATTTTTGACCATAATTTTCCAATATTAAATCTTGCTGGAGGTCTCGTGGGTAAATTATGAACAATGTTTAAATTTTACATTTTTTATACACACAATTCGCCATATGCTCGTTAGTACACCTCAATTTAAAAATGAACGAACTGTTGTATAAAACATAGATAGTACAATTATAGATGTGTTGCACATACTTTACAAAATGTACAACTATTTTTTTGTACAAGTTAAGTTAAAGCAACCTCATCCTTGTCCATTAAAGCTACCAACTGGTTGTGATGATAACCATGAAATAGTTATACAATTTCATAAAAAAATATACGAGCATAATTTATTTGACAGTCAAATTGATTTGATTCATTATTCAAGAATTTAATTTGACAGTTCATCAAACTGTGACAGCAGGAATTTCATAATATATGTATTTTAAAAATGTATTGATTAAATAAATAACACTTCTGCGGTACTCAAAAACGGTAAAAATAAAATGATTTATCTTCATACCAGATAAATAACACCGGCTTTCATTTAAATGTCTACATAATGTGCATTTCCATGTACATTTGAATTTAATGATTTTTACGTTTTAGTGCAATGTTTCAAACTAGATCATTTTTTATGCACATTGGTTAGTAATTTTTATTTTTTTTTTTTTGTATATCGATAAAATTTACAAAATGGTGATTAATGATAAAACGAACCTTTTTGTTGATCCTAAACAGCCATGTCTTTATGTTTGCGTAGTGGTTATGAGATATATGATCGATGGTGAACACCGGACCGTATTTCTTGGAATGTCTACCTTCCGGCCAAAACGGCGGGTATTGTTGCTGCAATAAAAATGTATGTTACTGTAAATTACTATATTATAATATTCGACGTCAAAATCGCAAATATTGTTTGAGATTTAGGGAAAAATTTCTCATAATCTATTTTACTGCATACAAATGTACGGTATATTATGTACTGTAATTTTTAGTGGGGACAGGATTTTAAACATTATAAGGGCTAAGCCCTCCCTTGGACCCGCTTGTTTGCGATTAAGAACGATGACGACTTACAGAGTCTCTGGGTGGCAGGCACAATACGACAACGGCCGAACACTCGTAATCGTATACGAGCGACCAGAAGTCGCCGGGCGTGTGTTTGATCGGCCATTCTGTCACGATATATTCTCTCGGCTTGGTGTAGCCCTGTAACACAGGTGAAGCATGGCTCAAGGTATGATAATGCGTTGTCGCGGTCAGGTTAGGTCATGACGAACACGAAAACTCAACAGTCACGAAACAAGCTTTGTGTTACATAATTAATCAAATCAAAAAGTCTGCCGAGCGTAATGCGTTTATTGTATTATATCGTACAGAACGGGTAGGGTGGTACTCACGTCGACGAAAACTGCGTTTATGTAATCGGTAAACGTGTTACCTTGGAACGAAGTCAAATACGGTCGGAAGTTATCGGCTGAAAAACATAAACGTAATATTAAACTACGACGGTGCGAACGGTTAGTCATGATTGCAGCATCACTAACGTGGAACGATCAACACGTCTCTGTTCTTCTCCCTGTTGTCACCACGGTGGCCGCCCGCACAGTCACCAATCGTGAAACGCGGAGTCATCTTGCAAATTTGCTGAGAACAGTCGCAACGATCAAATAAGTATACGTCAGCATGTCTACACGGTGGTCCGACTATGCAACTGACGTTATTGGCTGTGTTGATATCTATTACCTGGTACTCCCTTTGGTATTCGTTGAGTTTCGTCTCGGGGTCCTTCATGGATTTCTGTTTCAGTTTTTGCGACAGTTCTTTAACGGGGAACCACGAGAATCCGCACAGCACGAACTCCTCCAACGTGTCGTATATGAACTTGTATTGGTTCTGGTTCGCATGACGATAAAATACAACGTAACATTATTACGATGGCATTACTTGACCACGGTGGTGAAATATTTTATACTGTCATTATCATTACCAGTGTCTCAACCATTCCTTTTCTGGATTGTCTGAGCGTTTTCAAGTAGCCGAACACGTCGTAACAGTCTTCTTCTTCGGCGAGCTCCAGATTGGCGTCGATCGACAAATAAACCCCGGACCGACCGCCGCCATCGCTGGAAAACAAAAACCCACCCCATGAACGTTACGGTTTTTGACCGACCGTGGCGGTAAAACTTCCGTAAGTCCTACACGTGAACTTTCTCCTGAACGAACTACCCGAAAGCCGTGTGTGTACACTCTCGCGAGTTACTTTCAGCGCTACAAATAATTCGCGTATACCTGAATTCTCTACTTAGGCCAGCGTTTATAGTTACTTACCAGTCGCCACTACGCGATTCGAACATGGCTGGAAACTAAAACACGATGTATTGGCATACGAGTAGTTGGTCTTAATGAAATAACCAGTGGCGTAATTTCAGTTTTTTCTAGAGTAAGGCATGCACTTATCAAATTGCCGACTCGGCGGCTCATTTTATCAAAGAGCCGATGAACGCGAAGGAAAATACATCAAATCAGTCCAAAAATATAATGATTTGTACTTTGTACATATGTACCCTTATATAGTTTACGTTTTATTTTTCTGATTAACATCACGTTGATCAACAACATGATGGCTTTATATATAAAATATGTATTTATATTTCGATGATGTACCGACTTTGGAATAGTTAAACTCTAGACTGTGGCAAATACAATGAGTAATTTTTTCTGAGCTTAAGCCTCAAAAATGTTAATCTCTAGAAAAATTGATATACCATTTTCGGGCTAAATATATGACGCCGAATGAGTTTATTCATGGCTTCCAGATAAACTTCGTCATGGAAAGTTCATAGTCTACAGATTTGGGAATTTGCAACGGTTTATATTCGTATACATCTGTACCCTCGTGAATACGCTAATACAATACGTATTGCTTGAATGCTTCACTGTGGATACGCTCTTACTTGCAATGGACTACGATAGGACTGTCATGTTGTAGCCTAGAACCCACTACGGCTCTCATTCTCCGTCTGAACTCCAATATCGCGTTTGAGAACGGACAAGTGTGGCAAGGCCATTCCGTGTAATGAAATTGAAGTAAAGTTCTGGTTTCTTCTTCGTTCTATCGAGTTTTAAAAATAATAAAAAAAAAAAAATTAAAAAAATATAAATATTTAGCTGTTATTTATACAAATTATACGTATATAATATCATAAAAAAAATTGTATGTGTTAGATCACCCATGATAAGAATAAAATTTGCACTTTATTTGGAGACGTGACGTAGATTTAGGTAACGGTGAATACACCGTTGTTCATGCCAACAGGTCACCAAGGTAATCGATTTGGTTGTCTATTAATATAAAGTTGAATATTTCTATAGAAACAAAATTGGTTGATACTACTTGGTTGTGACTATGCATTTGATTATAAATTTACTATGATGTTAAGAATTTAAATAGAAGCAGAATAGATTAATACTATCATTTTATTATGACAACCAAAGCGTTAGCTAGAGTAAGCCACGCTCGTTATGGTTTTTGGTCTCCACACTTGAGCCCATGAATTATATTTAAGCTATCGCGCCTTTAGAAGTTTCACATCAAAAAACCGAATTTATTATAGTATTATATACACGTAATTATAACTGTAACGTAGTATTAGCCTCTATTAAATTGCAAAGATTAAAAAGTCTCCGACCTTTGACCCAGTTATACATTCATGAAACTGTTAGATATTATTCCGAACAAAGCCAACTTTGGACACATAGAGCTTAAGGGCCCTTCTAGAAAAAAAAGTATGATTATTATTTTACACTACCCAAAAATTTCCAAATTATTATTAAGAATTCAATATTTTTAGGCCTACCTGTTTGTTCAAAAACAAATCAACGATATTATTTTATCACGGAATGTAATAATAATCTTGTAGCCACTTATCATTGTACGTCAATAACTTGTTGTACATTCAATTCATTGTTAAAGAAGTAATGTTCGTATTTATTGCTTTTGAATTTTGAGTTGAATATTATTCAATATTATTTATAAGTTATTAACTTATTATCTAAGCCAGTAAAATATTTTATTGAGATAGTTTGTCCCATATGTTACAACAGGGGTGGCCAATTTGCGGTTTGCGAGCCACATGTGGTTCTTGTCAATGTTAGATGCGGTTCCCGCTTTATTTATAAAATTAAAATTTACTTATCATATTATTATTTTGGATTTTAATTTTATAGGTTTAAATTTATAAATTATTATCAAATTATTTAAAATGTATTTTTATTTATCTTATGTTTGACTCTTAGAATTATTATACTTATCAGTGTAGTTCGTGAACCTATTCATGTTGGCCACCCTTGTGTTACAATTATATTTTTTGGAGCTTCCGTCAATCGGGGGCTCTGGGATTGTGCCCCATGTGCCTTTAAAGTAAAGATGGCTTGATACCTAGTACTTATATAATCATACTTTTTTTTCTTATTAGTCGTAAACAGCTTACTTTACTTACAACATTACTTGTTTTGTTATAAATGTAATATAGAATCAATAGCGGTTTTCGACAACTTAAAGAGCTTTGGTCATTTTACTTTCCGCAAAAATGTATTATTTTATAAAAATATATATATTATATACCTCCATATTTATGGAGTATTATTACTTCAAGACCTACTAATTTCGATTCATTATGTGTTGATAATGACAGTCAAAATATAATTAGTTTAACAGCTTGGTTAAAAACCATAAAGTAATTGATTTTTTTTTTTGTTTTATCGAATTTTCCTTTCGTCTCTTGTTTGAGTCTCCAAATAGCGTCTCTAAATAGTGTAGAAAGTGAACCTAATACATAAAAACGGGTCTTTATAATTTTTTTTTTTTAAAGTGACGATTGATTGAACATTTTTGTGAAGTAGCCGCATGGCAGTTATAATTAATGTAAACAAAATAGCCAGCTTAAAAGGAAAAATTAATTTATCAAAACGAACGTTATTAACATTATTCATATTTTTATGACCTTAATGATCGGATTCGTTTAAATTAATGGACTTAATTTCGATTCTTCTCTTAAACATGTCTTAGACAACTTATTCCGGAAAAAATACTCTTTATACAGATTACTAGAAGTTTTTTTTTTTTTTATATATACACTTAAAATAAATTATCTTTCATTCTGTTTCTTTCCATGTCAAAAAGTCACAATATTATAATAATGATCATATACAATTCACCATATAAAAAATATAATGTATTATATAATGTACGGAATGTATCGTAAAAATTCACCATTTAAGTGTTGGTTATATGTAAGGATGATCAAGCCATTACTATAAAATAGTAAATCATCATGGTATAATGGTTTTAGATTTTTCACTGTTCAATTATTTATTTGTATCCGATTTCAGCGATGACAAGAAAAAGTCCATTTGATTGTATACATTCAAAGCGATTCTTTTCAATAGAAAAAAATAACATAAACGCATTTAATGAGCTGTGTTATGGTCACATAACGCTCATCCCGCTCATTAATGTGCTACCATTAATAATATGTACCTATATATTATATGAAACATTTCTAAATTCCTAAATTTCTAAAAATGTATGACTCTTTTATAATACGATTGTTTATTACGTTCTCTGAGACATACATACATATGTGTTATGGTTCATTTTGAGAGACGGAGTTGTCGGGTCTCGGTTAGTAAGGCATCCATATTTATTAATATTATTATTATTATTATTTTTTTTTTTTAATAAATATTTCGTCGTTATAATTTTTTCAAATGGAATGCCGAAAATAAAATGGTGTTTTTCACTTTTGCCATAATTTATAAAAAATTTGATGACATTAAGTTAAATTAATATATCGAATGTAAGTGTAAAAATAATTATTAATTACGATGAATAAAATTCCATGATAATTTATAGTATTTTAAGTAGAGAGATTTTTGTTCTTTGACTAAACAATTATTCTGTCTTATTATTGTTAATTTAAAAATTTCATTTTTTTTGTAATGCAATAGTTTTTAGAAAAACGTATTATTAGTATATTTTATCTTTTTTAATTTATATTTGTTGAAAAATTATAGTAATTCATAAAATTATTTAATATTTTATTTTTTTATTTAATAGAGAATACAACACAATAAAAAATGACTCGAAACTTGCATAGGCGGTTAAAATATATCATTGACATAACATCAAAATGTGATAAATTTACGAGCTGGTATGGATGAAATGTAATGAAAATCGTAAAAATAGATGATAAAAACACATATTTGACATTTTCTTCTACTTATCAAGTTATCTAACGTGTGAAAGAGTGATTGCAGTTGAAATACGACAGCTGGTTAATCCTAAATCTGATTGGTTAAACTTTAACTTTAAGATGTAGGTACACACTTCGAATTTGTTGATGTCCGATATTGTTTTTCGGGGTTTTCCAAGTATACTACTTGTCGTTTATCTTACGGTATTAACACAATTTATCGAAAAATCTGAAAAAATGTAACTAGGTAATTATTGAAAACTTTTACATTTTATCAAATAAAAGTATAATATTTTGCATTTAAATATAATTCTTTAATAACACTGTATGAAGTCGTATATTTATTAATTTTTATTTCCCGGTTTAATGTAATAAATACGTATCCAATAAATTTTTTTAATATTCTGTGGTGTGCAAATATTGTGTTTGGCAAAAAACCGAATAAAATGTCAGGACTATGACAAATCTGAAGTGTTTACATCTTAAGTTTAACAAGTCCAATTATAATGTAAGATTGACTGGCGATTAGTCCTCGAGCGTAATGAATATAATTTGTGTACATGCTTATATTACTCACTGTCCCTTGTTTTTTAACCACTTGTATGGTCCTAATGTGAAAATTAGCTAATTCTTCTTCGTGTAATACTGATATATTGAGATCGCCGTAGTTTTCACTGTTCACTTTGGCCGACGGCCAGTACTGTATACACATGACCTACAAGAAGGAAAAAACGAGTAGGTCAGAACACACCTCGTGCACAACGTAATGATATAACAAACATTGTAGACAGTAGGTGATTTAAATTTAGAATTTTCTAATTTAGTTATCAATACGACATCGATGGGTTTTTTATAAAGTTAAATAAGAATTGCCTTACATATAACAATTTTAATTTCACAGGGTTAAAATTAGGGACGTCCATGGGGAGGGGGGCTGAACGTGTGATATAGTTTTTTAAACTTTTTTGGCGAACTTTTACTGCATTCATAAATGATGCATAATCGACATAACAACGCTATTTTTATTCAAAAATAAATTTAAAAAAAATCTTGATTGTTTATAAGTGATAATATTATATAGTTAATAATTATTATAGTTATGATATATTTTTGTAATAGATATTATTTAATAGTTATTATAGTTAGTTATTAGTTTATAATTTAAGCCAGTGAATTTTATACAGTCCAATGTTAACATGGAGTAATAAGAGTTTTCAGAAGCATATTGATAAATAATGATATTTATTAACTTTATTGATGTGTAATAGTTACTTAAGGTAACGTAGAATTAAGTATTCTATGCCATAATTAGAAAATATTTATTATAAAAATTATAATCACGGTTACTTGCTATACTGATGGTTACTGGCAAAAGGCAATGACGTTTTTGACCGCGGAATAATGCTATTTACAGTTATTGTATATAAATCGTACAAGAATGATTTAATTAATTTTTTTTTTTTATAAATGATAAGTTATAAACACCAAAGAAGATGAATATGAGAATTGTGAAAATCTATATTCTCCACGTAGTTTTGAAATATAGAAAGTGGTCTAATCGGTCTTGTTTTTTTGTATGAGTTAACAATTTTTACTTCGTTGATTGAAGCACTGCAATGCACGCATATAGCTTATTATTAATAAACCATTAGTTTGTTAAACTCGTGTACACATCTCTTACCTTGATAAAGTCGAAGGTCTTGGTCAACATGACAATGCAACACGCGTTTTCTTGCCATATCATGCGCCAAAAATCGTTGACTGTGTTCTCGGTAGGCCCTTGGGTGACGATGTAAGCGTTCGGTTTCAACAGGCTCTGCAATCGATACTCGTGTGCTTAGTGAACATATGTGATATATAATAACAAAAATATATATAGTGTATCCGTGCACTTAGTATCATGGTTAGGTATATTATAGGTAGGTTAAGTATAATATTACCTACGTGATTAGTGAAGACTAGGGCCCGGTACTTAATGCACTTAAAAATTACTAAATATGCATAGATTTATACGCTTAAAAAAGTACAAATAAGCTCTAAAAATATGCACTTATATTTTATTTTTGTACAAAAAATTTTCATTTACATAAATATTTTATAAAATTATAAATATAGAAAAAGCAAAGTAATTAATATAATTCTGATTTTTAATTTTTAATCATAAGTTAAAAAAAAAAAAATAATATTAATAAAATAGCACCAAAAATATTTCTTGAATAAAAAAAATGCATTTAAATCATCGTATTTAGATAGCAGCTGTTCTTATTAGATATTTGTTTAATATTTTATTTTAGATAAAGCTAGCTGTAGCTGTAATTTATAAATATATATATTAACTATTAGGATAAAACATTGTTTTTAATGTCATATGGAAATTTGAAAAATGCGATATAAGAATATCAAGAAATTTCTCTCAATATGAATATATTTATTTTTTTATTTTCGAATTTTCATACTGAATCTTCAAAAATGATAAAATATGCTCTAAAAAATTGTAAAATCACTAAATATGCATAAAATATGCACTATAAACTTTTGATGTGTTCTTCGTAGTGTCTTGGAATGAATTTCTAGCTCACTTAACAATAAATCTAATGGTATAAAAAAAACATGCAAATGTAACATCTTCCGAGCCCTAGTGATGACTTAGTGAGCGAGCGGTCTTATCATTCTGGTGTATCCATGTATAAAATAAAAATACATTCATAATAATATATGTATATCTGTGTGTGTGTGTAAATGTGTAAATGTATAATGGGAACCCAGCGGCCGAGATGCACCTACAGACACGTATAGCAAATACGTGTTATTTAGGGCCTAAAATTTGTCAATTTCTTGTACCATACACTGTATTATTTTAATCAAACGTTTTTATTCTGTTATATAGTATACAAATAAAGATGAGCCTGTATAACTTTTGAAAATCGATTTAAATGCATTTTATTAATGATGTAATATTTTCTGTAAAAAGTGTAAATATCAATTTAACGATATTTGTTCATGTAATTAATTGTTTTTGTGACCCCAACGAATAGGAGGGATACATTTTCAAATTTCGTATAGTTTTACACGAAGTGCGTTGCTGTACTACACACGATATTTAGGCTTCGGTGTCATTGTAGTACTGCTCAGCTTTTTAATCGTAAACGTATTGGCACTCAAGGTGGACGATAAAAAAGTGATGAAGGAGTGGAAGAGTATACAGAAAAGTATTGGTCTGTATGCAAAACGTACAATGTACGAGTTCGTAAACAGGCCAGACGACAAAGTTTAGCTGTGCGCGTTTAATATTGGCACGAGCGATGCAAGTTGTTCACCCGAGCGCACACACAACAATAATAATAATAGTACATAGTTTCAAGGGTGGAAGAGGGTAGGTGTATGAATAATATATATATATATATGTTATGTATGCATACAGTATTGAGTACGTCAATACACGCGTTGTTGAAACTATAACGCACCATTTTGTGTGTAATGAACGATGATACGGAGAGACAACTGTATACGTGGTGGTAGTGGCTTTCGGAGATTACACAATAAGGATGTGGTTCCTGCACACGATAAACTTATACATGATAGTAAAATGCATATAGATGTATGCAATGGATTCCGTTTAATGTGGGCACGTTGGGACCACCTCCGATTGCTCATATTAATCGGTTGCCCGTAATAATCGAAATTAGTTCAAATCACAAAAAATTTGTAATATCAAAAAAATTATTTTTATTTTAAACACGTTCGCAAAATTGGAAAAAAATAAATTATTACATTGTTAAGTGTCACCAATAGACCAATAGGTGATTTCTTAATTAAAAAAAAAAAATCATGTTGTTATTTAATAATATTATATACTCTAATGTGCTAGATTATGTATACCTAATTATATAATATAAGAATAAAAAATAAAAATTACTACATAAATAACACTAAACAAAAATTGTTATTTGAATAACATAATTGTTCGTTGTCTATGCTGTTTAGTGTGAATACGTTTTTGATTGCCAGTTTGAATTGAATCGAAGTTTTGTTTTGAAGTTTAAAGGTTGTGAAGTGCTGGAAGGAAGCGACTTCACTTAATCTAAATATCGCGATTTTTTCTTTCAGGAAAAATCTTTTTGAGGCAGTGTCACGTTGAAATTCACATTAAAACTAAAATGATTATAATCGAGTTACAGAACGTCTATCGTTTTATTTATATTACTTATCTTTTATCAAGTCAACAAAATCTCATTAAGGTTTAAATGGTTATGCTTTTTATTACTTTCGACAAACATAATTTCATAGACACAACTCCATTTGTACCAGTCATTTTTAAATACAAATGTGATTATGATTAAATAAATATTGCCCACATAAATCGAATCGATTGTCCATGTGCTGAAGCAAAACCCACTATATATATATATACACATATGTATATATGTGTGTGTGTGTGTATGTGCAAGCACTCGTCCACTGTTTGTTTAAATGGTAATTAATCAAAATGTTGTTATGCATGGATTTCTAATACACCCGTACACGTTATAATAATATTATTATTATTGTTATTATTATTCATTGTAATCGACCATTTAGATTATACTTTCCCCTATCCATTGCCAAAACATGCCAATCGACATTTGGAACTATCATTTGTATATCTTTCTTGAATTAATTTTCCCATCTTAGCCATGGTCACCCCAAAGACTTCTTTCCTTGCGGAATGTCATACTGGACCGTTTACACTAATTCTATCGTATTAAGTTAAATTTTTTAGTTCCAAAAGAGTTATGATTTAAAAATAAAAATTATGAGCAACACACAAATAAAAACGTACAATAAAATAAATATTCCGTGTTTTTCAGTTTCAGAAAAGTAAACGATGAATTTTTTTCTTGTATACATGATTAGTAGTAATTTTCTAGCATATATATATTTAAAACTATGTTCTGTGTAAATAATATTGAACTAAATTAATTTTTTTAATATTAAGTCACGAACGTTTTAGTTTCGAAAAACGGTCATGTTATTGTTATAATACCATGACATACAGATACAGTTTTCAAACTCAATATTTCTATACTTGATGTATCTACGAATCATTTGTTAGAACTATTTGTTTTGGAAATTTATAAATATCTGTGTTTGATATAAGTCAATGCCGTGGACTGGCGTACACAACTTAGTCGTGTTCTTGATGCATTAATTACACTAATTGGGCATTTGGGTTCAAAGTTTTTTTTTTTTTTGTGGCATACAAATTGGACCCGTTATTATTGTTGCAAGGCTAATAAAATTCTGATTAATACATTTTGTTGTTTCAACTTTTAACAGTGTAATGTGATATATATTGTGTCACCGGATTTGTATGCATTTACATATTTATAATGAGTGTAATTGCAGTTTGATGGGATTCAGAAACGTGGACGATTTGTATTACTGAGAATGCATAGAAAAAAAGTTTATTTTATACATAAATGAATATTTTAGAGATAGTGACACATTTAAGCACATTTTAATTATTAAATAGTCCATTAAATCAAATATCTTATTTTTATTTTATCGTAGAAACTAGATTAGGATTTATTAAATATACAAGGTTCTATAAAAACACAATAATAAAGGAATTCAAGTATTAAAACAGATTTAATTAATCATATTAGGAAACAATGAAAAATAGCTATCAGAAAGCTTCACTATTTACTCTGTGGCTAATTTGAATTTTATATCACCGACATCAGTAGATGTAAAAAGATCGTTTAGTCTTTATTAAAATTACAATATAGTTATTTACATATATTGAGTGATAGAATATCTAAACACATGGAAAAATATGTTATTGAAAATTATTTTCATAAAATATAAATATCATAAATCGTATTTATTTATCATAATCTTTTTATTTATTACTATTTTTTTTTATATTTTCAATAGTTTTTTTTTTAAATTCAATATTTTTTATATTATTACAATAATACATTATTATTTTTTTATTATTATTCCTACCTAACTAAAGTTAATTTTTTTTTATTATTTGAATATAATTTTAAATATTTTCTGTACTTTAGTTAATGTTATAATAATTATAAAAATATAATATAGTTATATAATAACGTTATAATAATTATAACATTAACTTAAGTACAGAAAATATTCAAAATTATATTCAAATAATAAAAAAAAATAACTAGTTAGGTAGGAATAATAATAAAAAAATAATAATGTATTAAATTCTTTTACACTTTTCTTTTGTAATTATTTATGAAATATAAAAAAAATTGAATTAAAAAAAAAAACATTCAATATATAAAAAAATGTAGCTATAAATAAAAAGGTTATGATTAATAAATACGATTTAAGATATTTAAATTTTATGAAAATAATTATTGATACCTATACTTAAGATATTAAGTTTATCTAATTGAGTTGCATTGATATTTATGTCAGAAAAAAATGTTTGTATAAATTCAAATATTTTGGGTTGGTGCATATTATTGCGTATTATTAAAAAATATCACCGCATATTTAAAAAAAAAATGTTTATGTATGAATGCGTTCTATTTTAATCTTATTAAATTCATATAAATCCGGACTCTACCTATCACAAAACACACACATGTTTTGTAAAATATTAGGAAAGAAACATATTTTGTTTACGTGGTGTAAATTACATACGATTACAATGTTAAATTACCGGATAATTATGGGATTCGACTGTGTAGTGTTGTATCGAACATAATCCAAATGCGTTTGTTGCGTTGAAAATCCAGATATTACAACTATACATAAGCTTGAAGTGAACGCATATTTACTAACATCTCTATCTAATTATCC